AGAATGAAATAATTTTTTTTTTTTAATCTTTGTTAGATGTGGCCTACAATGTTGTGTGTCATGAAAATTTGTCCACAAGATTGGCCCTTCCTTTTATGTCATTTATTCAGGAACTTTTAAAATGAATAACTGTCTCTGACTGGAGTCACAACAGAAATTACTTGTAGTATTGACTTAGAGTCACTCAAAGGAACAGTCTCCCATTGTCATTGAAGTCTTTCTGTGCTTATTTCTCTTGTATGCTGCATACAATAAGGTAAAACTGTGTTACCTGATAGACATCTTGTTTATCAAAAGTCTCTAAAAATAAGGATTTCTGTTTTGCATTGTGAAGAGGAAGAGAGCAAAAAGCAAAACTAAAGAGACATCAGAGGAAGAATCAAAGCTAGAGAATAAAACTAGAATAGTTCCTGGAGAATAGTTTAAGGAAAAGGAGATAGGATGGATCTTACAGAGACTAACAGTAAATTATAAACAGTAAAACACTACAATTTACTTTGGTTTATAAATAATTGAAAACTGAGCCCTGTCATATGTCTTGCAATAATGAATAAAATTTAGACTTGGATTCATTATACACCTGGATTTGAATCCCATTCCTAGGCCTTACTATTTTTGAGATCTTGGGCAAATTTCCTAAAATTGCTGAGCCTTTATTTATAAAATTGGAAGATAGCTATCTCAGGTTGCTAATGAAAATTAATGAGGAATGGTTAATGTAATTAAAATTATAATTTAAGTAGAGCCCCAAAATTATTGTTTTCCTTCCTAAATTTTGTTCTTTCATTCAGGAACTCTTTCCTTAATCCCAGGTCCTCAAATTCTTCATGTGACTGTTTTACTCCTTTTGCCCTTCACTGATCTTTTCCATGTTAGGTATTTTAAAAACCCTTTGATCTTCACATTCTGACTCTTTTTCTTAAAGATAACCTAAAAGCATTTTTTTATCTGTTTCTCTATTTCCAATTAAAGTTAGTTCACTTATGCTCCCACTTCACCAACATTGTTCTTAACAGAATCCTCTGAATTCTACATTACTAAATGCTAGTAGTTGTCAGGCTTCATTTTACTTAATGTATCATTGCATTTGCTCTCTTCATTGAAACTATTTGACTTAACATACTACATTCAACAAGTTTTCTAAAAATTTTGAGCTAGCTTTGTATTAAATGCTATCTAAGAAAGTTATATAGCATGAAACTAGCCTCATTCAGTCTGTTTTACTGTTCCCTTCTCACCACTAGCCCCAGATGCTGGTGACCGCAGCTGATTATCTGTAGTTTAGATCTTTCCTTTAAGCTATGGACTTTAACTGCTGGTTATACTCACTAGATTCATCAAACTTAAAAATATCAAAAATGATGGCAAGCGCTTATTGTAACACCATGTGCCAAGCAGTACTGTCCCAAATTGGGCTATTTTCCTGTAAACTAAATAGTATTTGTATTATCTTTCTAATGTTAGTAAATGGCATATCCACTATTCAGCTGCTTGGGCTTAAAACCATAGTTATCTTTGATTCTCTCTCTCTTTCACTCAGCATTCATCAGCTAACAAATGCTGTTAGTCATTGTCTGATCAAAGTTTACCTTACCATCTCCACTCCTACATACTGGTCTAAGCCAGTCAGTTCTCAATATGGCTATCAGGTGGAACCTATTAAAATATTGGTTAGATTGTGTTACGTCCTTATTCAGTATCACTAAGTATTTCCCCATCTCATACCATGTAGGTCAAGTTGGATGACCGAGCCATTCAATGGCTGCATTGAATAGCCTAAGACAGCCTACTCAAATGGCTTGACCCTTAATTGGGGTGACAGTGATAGGTAGGAAAACTGAGTCTCTTCTTTCCAAGTGGTCTCTCATCCTCAGCTTCATAATGTAGTGGTGGTATAATAGAAGGGCAAGCCCAAATGCCTCTGTGCTTATCAAAACTTTATGTCACTTCTGCTTAAGTCCAAGTGGCCAAAGTAAATTTTCTTGGGCCAGTGTGTCATTGTGTGAAAGGATGCGTGGAGATGTGTGATTCATCGGGAGTCATAATGTTCCAGTCTACCATAGGCTCTCTATGTCAGGCTCAATTATTTGACTGTAATATTGCATCATTTTCTTTAGTTACATAGTAAAATAAAAGAAAAAGGTACTTGTCTAGATAAAACTAGTATCTGGGAGTGTGGGCTAAATAATTGTTCTTTGGAAAAATCAGATTTGATTTTTGTATATCTTTTTTTTAATTTAAGAGACCACTTAGAGAAATATTTATTTATGTGTATTATACTGATGTAAAGATTAAATGTCTGTATGTTTGTTATACATATAAATGCGGTATTGTTATACATATAAATGCGGTATCTTAAGCACTGTGGCTAGCTGTTTAAAGTGTCCCATCTCCCATATTATTCTGCTCCACACTGGGAAGGTGTACTTTTTTTCCTAACCTGTTTGCTGTTTGTTTTTCCAGTTGAGTATTTTTTCCAGTCACTTCACAAAGGATATATAGTCACATGCTTGTTTTCTTCAAATCAATGCTTTACAATGTTATGTTGTTCCTATGTCAGCACTTTTTATTCTTCACATTTTCAATGTGTTTGATTGGTAATGTTTACATTAATACTTGTTTTAATTCTAGTGTTTACTCATATTTTGCTTTTATTTTCCTATCTTCATGTGGAATTTTGTTGACCTTTTATTGTTACTGAGTATGTACAAACTTGAGAACTTAATTGTGACTTCAAAGGTAGTCTTACCTGACCAATTTACATATTGAGATATTAATCGTACTAAAAGTCACTTTCCTTTATTTTTTTTCTTTATACCTTTAAGGCATTTAATTTTTAATGTGTTAAATATATTTATATACCTATATATTTTACTTCAGGGGGTTGGAAAGAAAGCCTTTTTATATAAAAGCAAGACATTGGATCCACGAGGGTTGAAAACCAATGTTCTGGCTTAACTTACATAAAAATTGAGATGAGGAGAAATAACCTTCCAGTTATTGAAGACTTAATAAATTTCCTTAATAATTTATTTCGTTTGGGTTATTGAACTTACTCTGTTGTTTCTATAAAAATATTTTGTGTACATATGAATGTGCTAATATTGATACAGTATGGAGGGAAAAATTGTATTTCAGAAAGCCAAGTGATTGATCATGGACTTCGCTAATTATGTAAAATGGTATTTTCTCAATACCATTTAGGTTAAAAGTGTTATTCCTTGTTATCAGTCAGCTGAGAAACCTTTCAGATTGTTTTCCTGGAAGATTTTTGAAGCTATTGTGAATTTTGAGAAACTTTGAAGTTTAGGATCTTCGCCTTTTGAGAAATAGTCCAAGTTACTCTTAACTTATTTGAACAGCTTTCAGTTTGATCCACACTTTTTGACAGTGGTTAGACAAAATTGAATAAGATAGTTTCTAACACAGGAAACTTTAATGTAGTACTATAATAGGAGTGAGCATTAAGATCCTTGGGGAGTGTTTGTTTAAGCCAAGGTTCTCTCTACAGTGGTTGCTTAACCTTAAAATAAGAGTCAGACAAAGAGAGAAGGGGATGGGCATTTCAGGTTCAATGAAAGCATGAATACAAATGCTAAGGAAAAAAAAGCAAGTAAGTAAAAATGATTTGATTTCATTGGGTCATAAAGGGTAAAAGTAGGGAACTGTGGGACTTGACATGCTATGCTAAGGAGCTTGAGTTTTTTCATGGTGTATTTTCTCTCAGTATTTTCCACTAAAGTACAACTTTAGCCACAGGAGATTGAACACATAACTTTGAAAGATGGGCACAAAGTTGACCTAGGCCTCCTGAACTCTTGAAATTTTTCTTAATACTTATGTTTTATAGTTGAAACTTGTGAACAACTTTATTTTCTATTAAAAAGTTGATTAGTGTGCATTCGATTTCATAATGTATAGGTATCCATAATGATAACTATAATAACAATAATAGCTAATATTTTTGAGGGCTTACTTACCAGGGAGTGTTCCTAAGTGCTTTATTTCTTTTACTTCATTTAATCTTCAAAACATCTCATGAGGTAGGTACTTTTGTTATCTCCTCTTTCCTTAACAAAAAAACAAAACTGGGACATAGACAAGTAACATATGTGGGGTTATATGACTCCTAAGTGGTCAAACTTGGTTGAACCCAGGAAGTCAGGATATAAGGCACTAATTGCTGATAAACTCCCATTCTCTTGAGTTCACATGCATAGAACATTTAGCATGGAACCTGGCACATAATAACTATACGTGGAAACCATTATTAGTAGTCAATAATAACATAGTTTATCCATGTCTTTTTGTTGATACCTCTAATAAATTGTGCTGTGTTTTTCCTATGATTTGACTTATTCTTCTAATGCCATTGAATGCAGACACTGTGAATCCCAAGCCCACATTTTCTACTACTTTCTATTGCCACCTCCTTCGTTACTAGTCTTTTTCTACAATATATGTTAAATCCATAAGAAGGACCTTGTTTTGTTCATCATTGTATAACCGGTTTTTAACACTGCATCTGTTACATATCAGTGACCAAAATCATTGTTCATGGTCTAAAAACCTGCCATTTTCAACTTAGAAATTTAAGCATTATTCATACTATTTATAATTTTGTTTTAATTGTTCTGCATGTTTTCCTTCAATAAGCAGTCCTGTTTGGATCAGCGATCCGCCCCCGTGTTCTGCAGGGCTCTCTCACCATGGTACTGCGTAACCCTGCTGGGTAACTGTGTCTGTCATGTAGAGGTCACTCAGCTTTCACTCAAGAAGGGAGAATAGGATGGCATTTTAATCTAAAGTTAGAATCTGTTAGAAATATGTGAAACAATTTTAAAATGTGTATTTTAAGAAACTACAAATGGGAAGAAAGCTTTGATATTTTCCTGTGCCTTTGACAGTAAATCATTTCTATTAAAGATTAATTTTCTTTAAAGGGGGGTTTCCTCTGTTATTGTGGGTTAACTCATATTTTCCTCCTCTCCTCTGTCTAGAATGTCTTAAACCATTCTACCTTATGAGAAATTGGATGTTCTTGCAGATAGTCATTGTGGGAGAAAACGTTTCATTTAAGTCCCAGATGAGGACCGGAAACTTGAAATCAGAGGAGCATCTGAAATCAAGTAATATTAGGTAGGATAAAAATTATAAGGGATTTCTACATGTTTGTATTCCTTTAGAGATGTATGTTAAAGTATTTCTATTCTGTGACTCCTAATAGAAGAACAGACTTTTTGAAACATTTAATATTAGCCAACCTGGGGGGAGGGGAATACTTAAAGTTTATTTCATTTTTTTTTTTATGTAACTTCATGAGAACTTTGGCATATGTTTACTATGTCTGAGCATTTATATCTTGTCCAGGAATTTTTTTAATGTTTATTCAAGTACATTTAAGGACTTTTACGTGTGAAATTTCTGAATATTTATAAGAATAGGGCCATGTAATTTCATTTTGTAAATTACTCTTTAGAATGAAAATTTTTGTGTTTTGGTTTATATAAATAGCAGGTCATTTGAATTTTAGGTACCTCAACTTTTGGTTTGATGTCAACTTGAATGCAGTTAAGCCTCCGAGGTATACCTATAAATAAGTATATGATAGTATACTAGAGGAGCCCTCTCTAGTCAACACATTACATCAGTTATCACAGAATGTGTAAAGATGCTTGATCTCAGAGATGTGGCTTTTAAATGAGAGGTGATAATCACTCCTAGAAATTGATATCATGACAGTGATTATGTCCAGTCCATTCTAAAAGACCTGCTTTACTGTAATGCTCATGAGTTTTGGAACCCGATTGCAAGTTGGAATCAAGCTCTGTGACTCCTAGTTGTATGACTTTGGACAAAATTTTTAACCATTCTCTATCCATTTCCCATCAACTAAAATGGGTTTATGTTACTATTTACTTTGTTGTGAGAATTAAAGATTTAATAATATATGAAAGTATCTAATGACCTGGTAAACACAAAAGTGATCACATTTTTGTCATGTCATTAATTAAATTTAATAGTTGAGTTTAGAGTCTGTGTTCTGTTATTGTGGCATTTCTGTAATTTGCTTGATGTGTTACCAAGTCCAGTTCTTAAAAGATACTTGTTAATGTAATCTATATGAATGTTTGAGAGATGTGAACTAAAGAAAATAGAAATATATACAATACATTTGTATCTACCTCTGGTTTTATTTTTTATGGTTATGGTCATTGTGATAGTCAGTTTTCTCTTTTTTCACTTAGTTTTCCATCACGGTAGATGACCTAGGATTTTTTTTTTTTTACCTCTGCCTTGGAATGTTGTCTTCAACCTGATGTGCTGTTTCAAAGAGGATCCTATGTCAGTAGCCAAATTAGCAAAAGTTACTTTATGGTTGTTGGAGTATTTGTATTGCTATCAGATTACCACTCCTTCTTGGGAGTTATCACTTAGGTTCTTTTATGTAACTTGTTTTTTATTTCTCATAGCAACTCTGAAAGCCAGATTGTATCCTTATTTTATGGATGTGGAAATTGAGATTTCTTGGAAAGAAGACCTGTTAGTACTACTAATGTAGAAAACCCAGACTTAGATCTAAATTTTGTTTTTATTCTGTATAGTGTTTCGGTGACATGAGTGCTTCTTGTTTGACTTATGTTTTACCTTTTATTAATTCAACAATTTTTTAGTGAACTACCACCAGATATCAGTCATTACTAATTAGGGATACAGTCCTAAACACTTATCTTTTCCCTTCACTCCCCACTGGTGCTTCTCTTTCAGTGTACTCTGAACAAGTCTCAGTGTTTGTGTTTGCCATGTTGTTTTGAAATTATATGTATTTGTGTCTTTCTGCTTTACCTTAATTCCTTAAGTAGTACCATCATTAAGGCTAGCATGTTTCTAGAGTTAAACTATCTTTTAATACTTAACTGTAGTTGTATTTCCTTTTTTGAATTAGCAGTTTGGCCCTTTACCCATTTATCTGTTGGTGTCTTGATACATTTCCATATTTATGTTTCCACTGGCCCTTACTACATTCTTTCTGTTCTTGCCTTTGTAATACTTGCTTTTTTATTTATTTTGTAATTGTCCTGAAGAATCAGTATTGTGTTCAGTTTATCTCACTGTCAGACCACCTATCTGATCTCCAACTTTATGAAATCAAAGTAGTGTAGCTGTGAATTCTCTTAACTTCTCTCTACCCTCCATCCAAAATTCTCTTAACACATTTCTGTCTACCCATGACTCCCTCCCAATTTCATCCTCCCTCTTTTTCAAAGCCTACCCTGCCTTCTGTCTTAGTATCCACATTCTCATATCCTTGCAGACCTATGTTCTGTCAGCTTTGTTCTCACTTTCCTGTCTTAAATCTTTTCTTTTCCCTAGCTTCTTCCCAGGCATGCTCATATCTCTCCTGGGGGGGACAACTTTACTTTAACCATGCCCCTCTTCTTTCTTTTTTTGACCTATTTAAGAGTTGACTTAAACATCTCCCTAATTTGTTTCTCAACAAATTGTTCCCCTGCAGTTTGATTTTGTCTCTTCTCTTCACTGTCACTGGTCCTTATTTCACCTAATGTAACACATTTTCCAGTCCTTGTATACTTGTCTTCTGCCCCGATATTGCTGATGAATACTTTTCCTTTCTACCTTACTTAACATAACCACTCTTCTTGCCCTGATGCGCCTGTTTCATGCTTTGTTGGTATTCTTCATGGGCTTTCTATCTATCCCTTAAAAATGACGATAGGAAGCTAAATCTACCCTTCTTCCTTTCTGGACAGTTACATTTACTGTCAGCAGTCTTTTAACTATTCATGTCTTATCCCTCCAGTTCTGTATCTCTACTCTTGCTTGACTCTCATCTCTAAAAGCCTGTTTCCACACTAACACTTTTTCTCATACCCACTTGTCCAAGCTAACTATCTGGAAAGATCATTTCACTTCCCCTGCTTATTTTTTCCTTCTGCCAGTTTTACTTCCAGGTGTTTGTTGAATTGAGATTCTCAGACTAGAATTAGAATTGATCCTTACTAAAACGAGGTACACATTTTCAAGTAACATAGATTGTTGAGTTATTTTAACATAGAACACTGAAGTATTAGGAGACTTGAAAATGTATAACTGCCTGTGAAATGCTTTCCTTGAGGAAAGCTCCTTTAGGAGCAACATCTTCCCTAGATGGTCTATGTGAAATTCACTAGCAGAAAAATTTGATTTTTTAAAATTTCTTGAGTATGTCTTGGTGGTGATCTTGAAGAGAGAGAGCAAGAGTGTTATATATCTTATAGTGTCTGGCTTGTTATTTAACATGCATAATTATGATTAAGTTATTATGTTTATAATTGATTAATCCCACTTCTAGGCTGTACCCCAGTTCTTGTGTGCATAAATAAAAAAAAAAATCATAAATTATTATTCCAGTAACTCCGTAGCACTCTATGGAAGTGAGTAAACAAATTAACTTGAAATAAAAAGAAATCCTTTTGCTTTGCCTCCGAATAAAAGAAAGGTGCTGGTTCACTTTTCCTTAGCAGCTGAGAATTTAGAATGTATTGGTTTATATTCCTTCATAGTACTCATAGGAGAACTTGGCAATACCTTGTATTCTTAACAGTAAATCTTAACAGACATTATCATACATTATTTTTCATTGTTACACACATTATGTGTGATCCAGATACTTGTTAGAGGAGATAACTATTTCAGGTATTTTTCCCTCTATAGTGACATTATTTAAAAATTATAAAAATTTAAGTTTTGGAATAGCTTATTTTTATGGGCTATTTTAATTACACATACCAGATTTTATTTTCTTACAACCTTATATAAAAGAACTATAATATGGCAATTGGGAGTTAACCTCTGGATCTAAACTAGTGCTTACTCATGTGTTACTTAATCTGTGTCTCCTTGGGTTTACTTAGCTATAAAGCTGAGACCTAATCGTATGCAGTGTAGATTAAATGATTTCTTTATGTAAAGGCCTTAGGACAGTGTCAGTCAATACCAGTGCTATATATAGTAAAAACTCTCATAGTACCTAATGCATTAGAATGCATTAAATATATTTATAAATCTTGATGATTATGTTCTCCAAGGTTAGATTAACTTTCAGCATACTTATTATCATTGAATATTTCAGATTTTATTCAACCTCCTAATGAGATTTTCTTTTTTTAATTGCTTGATAGAAGTGCTTTATTCCTCTTATTAAGACTTGAGACAATATATTTAATATTTTGAAATCTTTATATTTCATAACTGTTTTATAGGGCTCGTTTACTACTGTAGGCAGGAAGATTTTAAATCTTAGGTTTTTGGTTCATTCTATTAATTCTGTCACTTAAAACCAGCAAAAAAAAGAACTCATGTTGCTATACCTTCTACCAAGAGAAATCATTTAAAAAATTTTATCTCTATCCAAGTACTGGCTATAAGCTGTAATTAATCTTTAACACATCTATTATGTTCAGTGAAGATGTAATATTTTTTCCTTTGTAAGATGAAGTAGTCAACTTGCACTAATCTTTATGAAGGCAATCTCAGATCGCTTGTCTATTGATTTGATTTCTTACATATTATACACTTAAAAAATGAAAACTCATTGTTTGAGAGTTTAGGGGATAGGGATTCCTCTTGTGAGATAATAATTCTTAGTTTAACCCTTTCCCCTGTCTAAATGGGTGTTTTGGATACAGTGAAGAAAGGATGAGCTCATGTACTGTGAAATAGAATTTACATGTACTTTGTCAATCTGCCTGTTTTGCTCCCCACTCTGTCTCAGGTGAATCCTTTCACCCACCACACCTCTAGCCTGTACCCCAGTTCTGTGAGCATAAATAAATATTTTTTTTAAAAAAAGGTAAGAGTAAAAAAAAAAAAAAAAAAAAGGTAAGAGTTAGTGGATAATAATATATAAACCTAGCCATGTTTTAATCAGTTTACGAACTAATTCCATCAAAAGTATGGAATGACCTACAAGTACTAACTTTCCCAATTATATGAGACTGTTTTATAACAGTCTGTGCCAAGATTGTGGTAGTAACTACAAAAATTCATCTTTACTCTGAGGAAACAATTATTGATGATTCCACATATGGGTAAACTATTTATTTACTATTTATTTGGGAACATAGACATTTTACTTTTCTTTTTCTTTTCTTTCTTTTTTTTTTTTTTTTTTTTTTTGTATAAAGTATTGCTAGAGCAGGAGAGGCAAACTTTTTCTATATAGGGGCCAGGTGGTAAATATTTCAGATTTGATGGACCAGATAGTTGTCTCAACTCCCCAGCTCTGCAGAAAGCTTCCATAGACAATACCTAAAAGAGTTGGCATGACTGTATTCCATCCAGTAAAATTTAATTTAAGAAGTAGATCTAGAATGAAGGAGGGAATTTTACCCATAGACTGACAACTGCACTAGAGTATGAAATTAACTTCTTACGGTCTTTTTGATAAAAATCTCAGATATGATTTATTTCCTGCTATGAACATATCTTTTAATTTAGGCAATTAACTTTAAATGTTAGTGTTTAATTGACAGAGTATAAAACTGAACCTAGATAAATCTATATTAGCTTTTTATGTCATAAATTTTTTTTTTATGCCAGTGTGAAAGAAATAGAAATAACTTGCACTGTGGAATCAGAAAGCACTTAGTTTGTACTTAATTACACTTAATTACTATGTGACTATGGTCAAATTAATTAATATTTCAGAGCTTACCTTGTTTATAGTCTATCTCCCAGAGTGGTTGTATTTTCCACTTAGCCATCTTTTTATCAGTTTAGTTTAGCAAGATATTTTCGTCATTAATGTGTTTTTTCATAACCAGGGAAAGAGCTCTACACACAAGTGAACCTCTTCCCTTGTCATACTGAGGGATCAGAACTGAAATTCCAAGACTTTAATGTTTGCATTGTATCACTTTTATGACATTTCTGCACTTTTGTCAGTGCTTAAGTTTTTAGTTTTATTGCTTTTTTTCTCAGACTTTATATTGTGTATAAAAAGAGTACAATTTTTATTAAATGAATGGAAACCTGCTCCAGAATCTGTTAGAATTATAGTTTCCTCTAATTGACATTCTACAAAAAAGCAGATTATTTATTTGTAAAGCATCCTTGTTATGTGCTCTAATATAATCTTAATTTTACTGGAAATTGGTATCCTTGTTAAGCAGTTAGCATACCAAAATGGTATTTGTTCATCTTTACAAGCAAATTTTGTATTTGAATGAGGAAAAACAGCCTTTAGATAAATGACCCTAAATATATCTGTACGTATATGTGAATAAGAATTTTTAGATAACATGTGAAAACACAGTAAAGCTGTATAATTAGCCCTGACTTTCTCAGTATAAGACTCATAAATCAATACTCCCATAGAATTTTGGTGGGGGGTGGGAGAGTAGGTTGTTGTGACATTGGTAGAGAGGACTTATGATATTCTATATTAAGTTGTATGATGTTAAGTTTTAAGGGCATAAAGCCAACAATTTTCTGAAGATATTTTTTCTAATATCTAAAGTTTAGCACATAAAACAGTGAAATAGGCTTTATGGATAATGAAATTTGATTTGCTATTACATTTTATGTCAAAGTGTAGTTGTTATTTAGCATTGTTAAAATAACTGATGGTTCTTGTGCTACCTGCTATAGCACCCTGTTTTGATTCTGTTTCATGAAGCTTTTTCAACTAAGTAGCATTGGTTTATAACGTTGTTTAGGTTTCAAGTGTATAATAGTATAAATCAACACCTGTATATATGAAAGCTTACCTTTTTTTAAAAAAAAAAAAAGGTAACTTTTTAAAAGCTGAGAAAAATGAAGATTCACTCTTACATTTTGATGAAATTAACAGTTGGTTTTGAATACATAACTGAAACAATGTTCTTACAGTAAAATTTTAAAATCTCTGAATATTCTCTAGCTTTTATGTCAAAATTTGCTTTTAAAAGTGGAAATCTCTTCATTTTAATGACATCCTCTCTTCTTTATTCACTTAAAAAATCTTTGAGTGTCCACTATGTACCAAGTGCTGTGCTAAAGGTATAGATGTTGTTAATGTGAGCATTTCTAAAGTTTGATATTTACACTAGAGAAAAAATAACTAGTGCATTGAGAACATAAAACAAAGGAGTATTTGTCATCTTAGGGTTCATTTAAGGCTTCTTAAGGATTTAATGTCTCTGACTGAGATAGAGGAGGAATAATCTACTAGACAAGGGACTAAAGTGAGGGGCTCAAATGCACTCTTTACAAAGACCCTGAATATCAAGAGAGCAGAGCACATTGAAGAAACCAGAAATTCAGTGACTGGAGCACAGATCAAGGGGGGAAATAAGAGACAGTGGTAGAAGTAGAGTGCAGAGCACTTTGTAGGACACTGTAATAAAGTTATTTTTGTTTTGTTTACCTGAAAGAGTAAGAAATCATTGAAGTGTATGTAAGGGCAATTAGTAAGGCCAGTTTTACTTTTTGAAGTATCCCTCTGACAGCAGTGGCAAGAACAGAATGAAAATGAGGGCAAAAGTGAATTGGAAAAAACAGCTTGGCTCTGCTGTAGCTCAGGCAAGGGATACTCATAAACTGAATGAGAGTGGCTAAAAAGAAGGTAAAGGGAAATCAACAGATTCAAGCTATATTTAGTGGGTAAAATTCTCTGGGATTGATAGCTATCAAGGATTTGGGGGAAAGCTGTCATGGGTGGTTTCCAGGCTTCTATCTTATATGACTAGAAAGCCATGAGACATTAGAGATGATGAATGAAGGTGGGTCATGAATTAACTTATAGACAGGTAACTCTTAGAAGAATGTGGAAGCTAAAGAAGAAAGCAGAAGAGAATGTAGGACAGAGACAGTAAAATCTATGAGAGACTTGGGCATCTTTAAATATTGAAGAGAAGAAAGGATCCAATAGCGAGGAAAATTTCAGAATTTTTGAAAAAGGGGAGGAATAATTAAAGAGTGAAAGGTGGTCTCCCTGGTGGTGCAACAGGTTAAAGCACAGCACTGTGAAGCTGTCCCACAGCCACTGCAGCAGGAGTTCAATCCCCGGCCTTGGAGGTGATCCACATGGTGTGGCAGACCTCTCCTGATTCATCCACTCGCTGCTCCCCTCAGCAGTGTACTTTGTCGATCTGCCTGTTTTGCTCCTGCTCCCCGTTCTGTGTCTAGTGAATCCTCTCATCACCTCCACCCCCTGCACCTCTGGCCTGTACCCAGTTCTGTATGCATAACCAAATAAATCTTAAGGAAAAAAAAAGTGAAAGGATAGAAAAAACAACCTAAGTGAAATGTTATTGGCCCTAAATAAAAGTGCAATACCTTTGAGTGCTTTAATCAAGAAGAGGGCTGTGTGAAAGTAGTATGTAATAACCAGGGGTATAGGGCAGAGGTATAGGACTATCTTTTGCTGAAAAGGTTGGAACTGCGGAAGGGAATAGAAATCAACTACTTGAGGAGAGTAGAGATTTGAAGTAGTTCTAATGGTAGTGAGTTGAGAATTGAGAAAAAATATTTCCTAGCTGTATTAACGAGGAATTTTTATTTAATGGGTATCATTGACTCTTACCTAATATAACAGATTTGGAAGGAAATAGCAAGAAATTGTTCTGCTAGGCAGAAGAGGTCATGACTGGGTAAACTTTTTAAGTAATGGTATCAGTTTTCCAGTAGCTAATGTTACCCTGGGTGTTTAGTTATGGACACTAGTTGCAGTACCACAGAAAGCTGGTATATGTTCTTATTTTAGTAGATAATCTTATTTAACTGTTAACTTTTAGTGTGTTAATATTGGCTAGATCTAGTTTGTTTCTAACTGCTGTTCTTTTTCCCCCTTTTTTAGGCAGGCAGAAGTCCTGAAGGCTGATATGACAGGTATTCTCTGGCTGGTTTGTTTTTCACAACTTGCTTTAAACCATGAATTTGAGGGAAAGTTATCTTTCCTATACTATGTGTAGCACTGTTCTAGTTGCCAAAATGAAAACTTAACTGTTTGCTTTAAATGTTTGTTATTTTTATACTTTGAATTCTTAAGTGACTTGTCAAGAATTTTCATTGAAATGACTATTGCTTACTTGAATATATATAATTATTTAATTTTTATAATTATCAATGAAGGAATATCTGAATTTGGTGAATAAAAGGAAAGGATTCAACTAAAAACTAGGAACTGTATGGCAGTAACTGTGCAGTGATAAGTATGGTTTCTATAACAGCATGTGCTGCCCTAGATGGGAAAGAGATAGGTGATAATGACTCTCATTCTAATATTGGAGGAATGTAATTTTATAGTGTAATTCATAAAAAAGTTAAGCTTTGTGGAAATCATGCCCTTTAAGATTTAGACTGAGGTTAGTAAAGTAGCGTGCTTTGATGAATTTTCCAACTCCAGAATTATAGACTAATGGTCCAAGAATTGCTAAGTAACTTACTGTAATCTGCTCTTGTGTTGGCATTAAAATGTGAAATTGTGTGACAGAAATTGTACATGGAATAATGTCAAGCTCTCTGCTTTATACCTTTTCTTTATGTATTAAACACTCTTGATTAAGTAAGCTTAAAGTTTTTGACTTATGGGGGATTGATCATGCTACTGCTCAGAAATGTTAACAAAGATTTTAAATATGCCCATTTAAGTGATAGATCAGGATTAATGATCCCTTGCAGTCAGTCCTAAATCTGTTTACTCATTGAAAGATTAATTAAGGAACCAGGAAGGCTGATACTAGCCCTTATTCTTAGTAGTTAGCAAACACTTGTGAGGATTCACTCATCTGTCCAAGAGGTTCTGTTTGCAGAGTAGGATGATAGTAGTTACAGATACTAATAGAAGATGTAGAGAGGAGTGACCATTATGCTATTAAGAAACAGTGAAATGCCTCGCCCGCACTTGGAAATATTTATTGAAAAGACCATTATTAAGTTCTTCTAGTGAAGCAGCTCACTGTCAGATACTGCACTCAGGAGTCTAGTAATTGGGAAGGCTAATGTGCCTGAAGGGCTTTGCCAGGTTATATGGCCCCAATTGGTATTACATATAGTCACAGCCTGATTTCATCTTGCACCAGTCTCTCATTTGGCCTCTTGAGCAATTTAATCAGTCCTCATCTACATTAAATGACAGATATGGATTAATCATAGAAATATGTGCAAAGCAGTTTGCTTATCAATCAAAGAACACTCACTGTCAATGGCTTTATTGAGTTGACATACATGGGAAGTCCAAATAGCTCCTGGACTGTGAGCTGATACGAGGATTCTATACAAACAATTACAAGAATTATTCAAAAGAAAGAAGGGCTGCTTTGGACAAAGCAGTATAGTAATAAGAATAAACAGCCCAATTTGGCAGTCTTATCATTTCAAGTGGGGTGACTTCCTATGAAAAGCATACATAGAAATCCAAATGAAAAGCAAAGAGGAAGCCATTTGGTTTTTTTAGCCTTTTACATTTCATGATATTATTTCAAAGCTCAAAGACAAATACAGAAGCATTTTAAATCAGATTTAGTCATTTACTGAAAGGTAAAAGTTATTTGAAATGTAATAATATAAAAGTTTGCCATAATGTATAGTATGAACTTAAAGCAGGCTTTGGCTTTGGGGACTAAAGAGGAAAGGATTCACTTATATGATACAATGACCTTAACTGTCAGTTTATCTATCTGCTGTTCTGCTTTTTGTTTTGTTATTCAGATTCTAAGCTGGGTCCAGCTGAGGTCTGGACGTCCAGGCAGGCTCTGCAGGACCTGTACCAGAAAATGCTAGTTACAGATTTGGAGTACGCTTTAGACAAGAAAGTAGAACAGGATCTGTAAGTATTATCACTTGGGATATCCCTCTAAGACCAAGAATTCTCACCAAGGTGTAGAGTAGAGAAGAAGAATTTCATTTTTAACTGATAATCACCAACGTTTTCAAGGGCAAAAATAAATGAAATTCTCGTACTAAGGATTTTTTTTAAAAGCAGTATTTGACCACTGGTTTAGTTTTAGGTATTAAGCGCAGAAATGTTTAGAGTTGAATTTTAAGACATAAAAAGCAAATATATACATATATATGCATATACATATATTTCAAGCACTAAATTATATTCTGTGTTGTATTCAGTGCTACATTTAATTATAATTTAAAGATAATTCCAGGAGCAGGTTTTAGCAGGTGAATGTGATTCTAAATTTCTCCTGAAAGAAAATGTTTGTACTGTAAGGAAAGTTCTTCCTTTAAGTTAAATTAATAGGTATTCCTTTCCTCCTTCCCCACCTCCTCCCCTCACTTCTCCTCTTCCCCCACCATCAGACTAAAGGAAGATTTTGTATATTTAGGCTATTCCACTCGTTCTTTCTATGAGGGGTGAAATGGCAGATGACCAGATTCCCAAGTGAGTAAATTACTTTCATGGAAGACCTTGCCTTATAAACTGAAATAGAACAGTATCCTGATGGGAAATTTTAAAATCAGCTAAGAACATTCTACTAAGTGATGCCCATTCCCTTAAGTTTTGGTAAAGATTAATTTTTCCTATCTTCTGTACATACCTTTTGTAGTTACTAGGAAATCTAGTAATAGAACTTTTTTACAATTATTCAAAATCCATGTTTATGACATTGGTATCCTGGGTAAGATGTCAAAAATGCTGAGGGAATGATTGCCCTCAAAAATCTTTAAAAACCTGTGTTCTAAAGCCTCAAAAACTGACATTGATAAAGAATTAGGTACTTTCCAGATAGGTTTTAAGCCTCTGTTTTAGCTTCCTTTTATCAAGATAGTAACATCTTTCCTTCATACTGCTTTTGTTTTGGAGAGTTTTTTTTTTACCTACACTTTCCAATTAGGAAGTGTTTTTTTCTGTACATTGAAGATAAAATGATTCTTATTACAACTTAATAAATGGAAGGTATTTTTTTGATAAAATGACACGATTTTTAGCGTGCCATATTTCGCATTGTGTTGTTTCTGTTTTAAATAGCCAAAATTGAAATGTCAAAAATGAGTTTATATTTCATGCTCTAAAGAAAATATTAACCCCTAGAGAAATAAACTATTAAAAGGAAATAGAGCTGGTTGCTGGGGAGGTATAGACTTTAGGGAAATTAGAAATATGGCTCTAATATTTACAGAATACTCCCTCCCCACTCCATACATGTCATTTGACAGAGTAAAGTGATTTTTTTTTACAAAATGTATGGAAATTTACTAATAGTTCACTTTTACTTAGGTCTACCACTATAGTTCTGAATTTATGCTGGGATTCCTAAATAGGTTCTAACTCTAGTAACTCTAAAAGATAAGTAGCTGAAGCCACAGTCTGATTATTCGAACATTTGGTAAGTGTCTACTAAGGTTGGTTGGATTCTACTGCATGTCTAGTCTTGTTCAAAGGAGAGCAAAAAGTTATTTAAGTGAGTAGCTTTAATGCAAGTTTACTGTCTAGTGTGTTATAACAAACAGTTCTTTCTTGTTCTCAGGGGGACCAGTGTCTGCCCAGTGAGTCACTGCTATACCAAATAGAATTACATTTTGTTTTCAGCTGGAATCATGCCTTTAAGAATCAGATCACAACACTACAAGGCCAGGCAAAGAATCGAGCAAACCCGAATCGGAGTGAAGTTCAGGCAAACCTTTCTCTGTTCCTAGAGGCAGCTAGTGGCTTCTATACTCAGGTAAGTTCTGTATTGCATAACCAGTTTTCCTCAATTTAATGTTGAATATTCTATTTGTAACTATCTTGCTCATCTAAGCACTATATGTAGCCACCAAATGGGTCATCCAGGAGTTGGTCATGCATAATCTCAATGATTAAAAATGTCCCGGATTGTTTACCATAAACCTTTAAACAACAAAGACACTGCTCTTTAAAAATGATGTGTTGGTCTAAAGATTGGTGGTATCATTGGTTGAATAGAAAAATAATAATGAGAGCAGTGCCTTAGTAAAACAGCAGTAGTCAGTTATAAGTTCTGACAGAGCAAGAATTTATGGGTATGGGTATAATCATTAGGAAAGTAAAAGCTATGTCATGCTACATAAGAAATAGTCAAAATTTAATGTCAAGTACAGTACAAATACAGTAGAATTTGAATTTCAGATGCTATTAAACTATGAAATGAAATAAGCTTTGCTTCAATTTGAGTAATAATATATTATTCATCATCTTCAGAGACTTTTCCTTTTCCTTAGTTCCATCTTGAAACAGCTTCCAAATCAGGCAAGGTAGAAAGAATAAAGCAGAGACCTTTAGAAAACTCGATGTCATCCACTTGTAACATTAATAATTGATAAAATGTTCATACATTAAATACTTGTCTTAAAATGACAAGGTTTCAGAGATCTTGCATTGGAAGAAATCATTGACCAGTTCAATCTCTGCTGATCCTTGACAATTCCTGTGTTTGATCTCCACTTTGGTTTTGTCATTTCTTTGACTTACAATAAGCCTGTTGGAAGATGCCATTTTAGATACCAAACTTACAGAAGGAATTTGGTTTACTTGGATTAAAGTATTCATTGTAGCTCATAATTAAGAGAATTCAAGTATGGTTCTTTTTTTTTTTTTTAAATGAACTCTTCTGAGCCTTCCAGTCCCAACTGACCAGATGTCATCAAAGAACTATCCAGCCTTTTTTTTTTTTTTTAATTTATTTATTTATGCATACAAGAACTGGGTACAGGCCAGAGTTATGGGGGATGAGAGGATTCCCAGATACAGTGGTGAGCAAAACATGTAGATGTACTGAAATAACACTGCTGAGGGCAGCAATATGCAAAACAAAAGAGGTCTGTTGTGTCTTGTGGATCAGCTACCTGGCTGGGGATCGGACTTGTGTTGCAGTGGCTGGTGCTGGCTTGATAATGCTTAAATCCCTGTGCCACCAAGGATGCCCCACAAGTATGGTTCTTATCTCAGAATTGATTTTCAAATTGAATACTAACTTATAGCAATAGAAATTGATTCCTCTGGAGAAAAGGATTGCAGTGTGCTACTAACTAGTCCTTAAAGCATATGTTAAAGATTAATGCATTCTGTTAAGTAACTGAAGCCAGCTATTTGTAAAGCGCAGTACTAGATACTGAAGGTATGGAGAGAAATGAGACAACCTTTACCTTCAGTGCAATAAAATATCCAGTCTGTATGAAGAGATGGATACATTGGTAGTTTTTTTGTCCTGATTATAAAAACAATGTATACTCTTTCCAAGAAATTTCAAAATTATGCAAAATAATTTTTCCTTAATCTTCTCAATTCAAAATAAATTACCACTTTAATATTATCCTCCCTAGTGTTTTTATATCTTAGTGCATAGTTGTATACACCCATTCTTCCGGACACTTTATAAATATGTTTTTTCCTGTATCCCTTAGATAGTTTGATGGCTTTTTTATGTGTAAAGCATTTTCTCTAATACAGGATTATTTCCTGAGTGCTAATTCTTCAATTAGTGATAAACAAAGATATGATAGATGAGTGAAATTTTAATACACATTGCTTTCCCAAAAGGTCATCATTTATATTTTGATACTTGATTAGTGTTTGCAAGTTTCCACCTTTATATACACTTACAGTGTTAATGTATTTCCAATGAAAGTAAAATTAATAATACAGTGAATAATTCACATTTGATTAATAGAAAATAGTTTTTCCTTTAAAATTTTGATTTAAAATTTTTTGAAATACAGGTATTAGTTTGGATTTTTTTGTAATGTGTTTTCTTATAGCTGATTCTTAAGTGACGACAATAATTATAAAGGAACAAGTTGATAATTAGAATGCAAATCTTAAAATCTGAAAACAATCCCTATATCATACAAAAGAATAATAATTGTAAAATGAAGATATGAAAACATTCTAAATTATGTTTTTTAAGATTATGAAAATTGTGTTATTAGTAGAAAATCATGGTATAAAATTATGTAGAAGTTTGACTATATGTTAGCATATAGCTTGGTTATATGTTAGTTAACCACCTCAGTTCCGTGGGACATAACAAAAATGAATCTTCCTTCCCCTCATCTCTGATTCAACTCTGCTTTGTTGAATCTCAAGTTTTCATATAACATCTTAGATATATTTCTATAATATCCTGGTTACTTGTAGCTTTCTAAAACATGGTCCAGTTTTAAAACTCCACATCCATTTCTGATTCAGATTCATTTCTGACTCTGTCCCTTCCCTCAGCCAAAGGAAGCTGTAACTGTGAGCATAACGAGTTCGGGATAGGGACTTTTGATACACCTGGCAGAGACAGAAGGAAAGCATCCACCTTTTCTTCAGTTTTATAATAGTTATAATGTAAATGGAACTGTACAAATTTCCAAGAGTTTAATTGGACATAGATACTTCAAGCAAAATCTGCAAGGAAGCAAAACTCATTTTTATTAAGAACCCATGGTATTGGTAAAAACAATTTAAGAGAAGGTGAATAATAAAAATCGAATGTTTTTGGCTGTGTTCTGTGAAGATAGTCTTGAGTTCTTGATTTTCATTGTATTGGGCATTTAAATAAGGCTGGTGCCTCACCCCAGAGCCTAGAGGTAATAGTTTGCCATAGTGTTGTTGTTGTTGTTGTTTTTTAAGAACATACCAGTAGTCCTTATTTTAAGAAAACGAGGGACAAAAAGAAAGCATTATCTTTGTTTATATGTAGTCTACCAAAAGGTGTTATTTCTATACTTTCACAATTAGATCTCCATTCTTAGCATAGAGTGAAGAGTTAAAGAGTACTGAAATAATCATTTTCACAGAATGATTGTCAGTACAGTTTTTTTCTATTTAGGAAACATCTGTTTCTATTCTTTAGTTTCACCTTGTTGACGTCTAAACCAACTAGAGCTCTTTTCCCAAGGATCTTTGTGCCACCAAGAACTTTTCTGATGTGTCCACCACAAATCCTCTGTTCAGGCAAACATTTTACTGTAAAACATTATACTTGATGTTCCAGCCATATTTGATTTCTTTTTTGTGAATACGTTCTTTTTCTTCTTGGTAGATATTCAGCCTTGTCTAGTTGTCCACTATGTTCTTTCAATAGCTACTGAGCTCAATTCATTATCCTCTGTCATGTGTCTTTCTTAGTGCCACCTTTCAGTCATTATTTTTTTCTCCCCCCTCCCATTTTATTTGGTTCTTTTACTCTACTTCTTTCCTTCTATATTTCTTAATTACATAGGCTTTCACTTTTTTGCCAATTTAATATTGGCAAAATCTTGCCTTTACAAATGTTCAGGCCTAAGTAAAGATGAAGTAGATAATTCTGATGCTTAGTGAGAATGGGTGCATAGAATTTATATACAGCTATTTAGGTGTTTTTTATCTGAGGAGAAAGGTGTGGACATTTCAGATTTTTCAGAAATGGGTCCTCAGGGTGTCTTACTTTGTATTTAAATTCTGCACATGTTGACCAGTGATAGAATCAAAATGTTTCTAATTCTGTAACGTTAGTCAAATCACTTGATATTTCTGTTGCTTTCATATCCTCATCTGAAAAAAATGAAAAACTTTTAACCTGTTATGCTGTGTTGTTATTAGAATATCACAAAGATAAAGGCAGCAGATACAGTAAATAATCTGGGAATGAAGTTTATTGTAAATGTAGAACATTTATGACATAAGCTACCTATCATGTTTTATATCTCTCTGCTACTGCCCTCCATCTTTTTCCTTTTGTGCCCCCTACCTTGTGTTACCTGACTTGATCATTTATCTGTAAGCCTTTTAAGGCCGCATATTTTAATCATCTCTGTATCTTTGTTGCAGCCCATGATGTCTGATAAAGTAACCAAAATTTGGCTGTAATTTAAGTAAATATATAAATGAATGATGATAGAATGTGAAGAACAGTGGTGGGAGATGGAGTAATGAAACACTGGGTAGCAAGGTGAGAAGACAAAAGCCTTTGAATGGAGAAGACTTAAAAGGAATGATGTAGTATGAGAACAAGCCCAGTGATTAACTATAAGATCAGCTGTTTTAAATGCAGCAGAGTTCCATAGATAACTGAAAAATATCCATTGTGTTTAGGTCTTAGATAATCAGTTACTATATTTACAACAGTTTTAATAGTGGTAGTGGGTGGTAGATTGCTAGAAGTTTGTTGAAGCCAGATATGCTGGATTAAGGAATTGAAAAAAGCAGATCCAGCATATATGGACTCCTTTGTGGGAGTTGGTCAGAGTAAGGGAAGAGACAATAGAAGGTTGCTAGATGGGGAATGTAGTGTCAAGAGAGAGTTTGGTTTTGTGTACACTGTTAGATATTTTTCTTTTAGTTCTTGTTTGCTTTTTCTAGGTGACACTAGTTATTTATAGGGCACAGTAAAAATATATCATTGAAAATAGATAAAAATGAGAGGGGTGATAGGCAGGAAGCAAAAGAATGAAGTTATATGCTCAGGCAGAGTGGCATTAGCTCTGACAGAAGGGAGATTATTTCCTACTGTTAAGACTATAGAGGAGAGCCCTGGTGGTGCAACAGGTTAAAGTGCAGAACTGTGAAGATAGCAGCAGCCACCTAAGTGCAAATTCAATCCCTCCAGTTCAGTAATACCATGAGATTTGCTTTGTATACAATTAGGTGAAATGATACAAGGCTTAAGAAATAAACTTCAAGAAAGTTCTAAAGTGTGGGTCTTTTGGCTAGCACTTTAGTCAGATGTACATACCTACCAACCTTTAATAGTTTTAAGGTGTTCCTAAGAAAATAAGTAGATTGTGATTTCATGGAGTTTCTTGCTGTTCTTGGCTTGCTAAATGTGTCTAAATACCCTCATCAGATAATTCCTTGCTTTAAAATACTGTTCCTTTTAGATGTACATCCTAGTTTGCTCTAAAACTTTTAAGAAAAGATGCGGCTTGTAATGAATTATGCTGGTTATCCTATGGAAGAGCACCACATATTTCCCCTATATAGTCAGCAGGGTCTGGTAATAGGTTTATGTTAACTTATACAAGCTTTTCTGGTAGAGCATTTCTGCCTTACCAGTTCTGACTTCATACTAAATCTTGTTCATGTTTCCTTTTAGTTATTACAAGAACTGTGTACAGTGTTTAATGTAGATTTACCATGCCGTGTGAAGTCTTCCCAGTTGGGAATTATCAGCAATAAACAGACGCATACCAGCGCCATAGTGAAGCCACAGTCTAGCTCCTGTTCCTACATCTGCCAGCACTGCCTCGTCCATCTAGGAGACATCGGTGAGCTTTTGGTGTGAAGGAATTCATAATACATTCCATTTTTCTCAGCAATAGTCATAGAAGGATTTTTTTCCCCTTAAAACTGAGCATGCACACAAAATTTAGGTCGTCAGAACTATAAAATATATTTTAAGCAACTTAGAATTTCTTAATATGCTAGAATTGGCAAAGGATCTTAAAGGAAGTGGATTTCCTATTCAAAATGTGCAGATGTAGATAATTAATAGAACTGTAATCAAAGCTAAATTTTTCCAAGTGGTGCCTTGGTATTTTTTAAATTAAAGGTCTATATTCCTTAAGAATTATGTGCTTTGTAAAGTACTTCTGAAACTAGATTGCCTTCTTTCCTTCCTGCCAGTCATTAAAGGCTCAAATTTGTTTCTATTTTACAATCAAATTTGCATTTCCATTTTATATATTTTATCTTGGAATGTTATATAACTTTCTTGTTCATTCCCTTAAGACGACCTAAAAAGGTTGTAAAACAAAATAACTATAGGATTATGTTTCAACTGCCCTCAAATAATAAGAGAACATTAGTGCTTAAAGTTAGATTTTAGGTGTCCGAATGTCATAAATTATTGCCTCTATGAGGAGTCACATCAGAGTAAGCACTAAACTCTGGAATAATTCAGTGAATAGTGTATTAGGCTATTTTGCTTGCAATGTATTATAATTAATATTATAATAGATATGAGGCATTTTTCAAAATCATTTTACAAACTGTTGAAGAAATACATAGTTCTCAGATCATATTGTATAGTGTGTTTTGTTTTGTTTTGTTTTGAAGTGCCATATAACTCACCCCTTGTTGTGGGCCGGCTCCAGGTCACCAGCATAGTCCATAGTGAGAGCTGGTGATGCATGACACTGGAGGACCTGAAATTGGGGGCTAGGTAAGCTTTAAAATTGGTTACATGCTGAGTGTCCCACATAGGAAAGGCCAGATGGACACTTTACACATAATCCTATAGTTAATTTGTTTTAAAGTATTTCTGTCTTTAACGATCTTAAATTAATGGGTGTTTATTATTTTTAGATTTTTAAAACTAGCTGTTTTGGATATATTACCATATACCATATCATTTTGTTTCTTTGTTTCTAATCTGAGTTTTCTTTTTTCTCCCTCTCAGCTCGATACAGAAACCAGACCAGCCAGGCAGAGTCCTACTATAGGCATGCAGCTCAGCTTGTCCCCTCCAATGGTGAGTGGGCCTCACATGTTGGTTGAATGTGACACTTTATTCATTATAACAAGATGGAAAGTAACTCTCAAGACTCCATCTTTAAGTTTTATGAAAGCAAACAATCCTGAGTTTTGTTATTATGCTTTTCTTTAATGTGCATCCTATATAACCAGAAATAAAAGATTTTAAAGATTATTTTGTCAGTAAAGCAGTATAAGTAGGATGTCTTGAATAGGATCTAAAACCATTTCAACAACTCTGGCATCATTAATTGCTTAAAGAATAATTACCTCTTTTTAATAATACCATTTTCTCCAGAAAAATTAACTCTTACTACCCAAAAGATAGTGTTTTTGCCTTTTGATGATCTCAAATCTGAATTAGCAGTAATTTTTTTAAACTGAATTATGGCAGATATTTGGTGATAATGTTATTTTTGTTAGCCAAAAATTTGAGAGAGTCTCATGCCGGAATGGCCTTTGGGCACATAATTAATTTTATGGCTATGGCTGCTTTCCCAGCACAGAGACAGAATTGGATAGTTATGACAGAGACTCATTGACCTGTAAAGTCAAAAGTATTTACTATCTTTCTGAAGTCTTACTTGTAGTTCTTTCCACCCTCATGAAATACTTTTAACACAAACATCATGATGATATGTATTGTCACTGCTATTTCACATTATATCCATTTGTAATGAGGTAGTCATGAAAGTTACTTTTAAAATACATCCCTTTATTTGAGGGGTTAAAAATTGATCATTTGGGCCCTCCCTGGTGGCGCAGCAGGTTAAAGCACAGCACTGAGAATCTAAAGCCGCTTCCTTATGAGTTCGATTCCCGCCTGCCCCGGAGGTGACCACATGGCGTGGCAGACCTCTCCTGACCCGCCCGCTGCTCCCTTCAGCAGTGTGCTTAATCTGCCTGTTCTGCTCCCCACTCTGCCTCTGGTGAATCCTCTCACTCTCTGCATCTCTGGCTTGTATCCCAGTTCTGTATGAATAAATAAATCTTTAAAAAAAAAAAAATTGATCATTTGTTGTCTGATAGACTATACCTCTTGAGTTACTTTAGAATCTTCACTTCTCCTGTAGGTCAGCCTTACAATCAGTTGGCTATCTTAGCTTCATCCAAAGGAGACCATCTGACCACAATTTTCTACTACTGCAGAAGTATTGCTGTGAAGTTCCCTTTCCCAGCTGCCTCCACTAACCTACAAAAAGCACTTTCTAAAGCACTGGAAAGGTAAGTTTGACTTTTCCAAGAGAAATCTGGTAGCCTTGATTCCTCAAATTCGTGCATATAAAAAATAATGCTAGTTACCTGTCTTTCTCTTCTTTTACTTGTGCCTAATTGTTCAGCATTGCTTTATATAGCCACTGAATTTCAATCAGTTAGTCTAACTTTTCCCAGTCGAGGAGTCCAGATGCTGACCACTGACACACCTGAGTGTTGCAGTTGAAAAGTTAGATGCAGAATCTTCTCCTTGTGTATTCACATGCTCAAATAACATGTTTTTGCAAAGCAAAGCCTCGCTGTAAAAGTTTTTAGACATTTCCTTCTTAAGATTTATGGATATTTTTCTCTCTTTTCAGCCGGGATGAGGTGAAAACCAAGTGGGGTGTTTCTGACTTCGTCAAGGCCTTTATTAAATTCCACGGTCATGTTTATCTGAGTAAGAGCTTGGAAAAGTTGAGCCCTCTTCGAGAAAAATTGGAAGAACAGTTTAAGGTTAGATTTATAAACTAGAGAATTTTTTTTACTTGTCTGAGTTAGGATGCATCTAGAGTTTTTATGCCATTAGTAAACTGAACTGTTGGTAAAAATTGAATTTGAGGCCTGTGAAATTCTTGTGTCCAGCATCCCCACAATTTAAACTGAGATAGTGTCTGTATAAAGAAGTACATGATCTCTGTTTTCACTAAAACTGCCACTTGGCAAAAAAAAATATCAAAGTGGGGGGGGGAAAAACCTCTCCTCAGTTCTGTCCTTTCTCAGTGGTAAAAGTACACTTTTGATAGTGTCTTGTATTCTCAGGATTCTGTGCCTACCTCATAGATATTTCCATTCATCAAACCCCAGCTCAATTTTTAACTGTGCTTTAATCCATCAGGATTTGTGGTAGTTTAAAGGAAAGAAGGATTTCATTCAACAAGAATATTTCACTAATTTGAATAGAGGTAGAATTAAGTAACTTTTGTTCTAGTTATATATGAAAGTGATCTTTTATCAATATTAGCAGTTTAAATGAAGTATAAAGTGTGCAATATGAATAGAATAAAAATTGACTAATTTTAATTCATTTATTCAACAATTATTTCTCTGTTACTTAACAGATACACTCAAAAACCATTTTGTAGTTATTTCTTGTTATCAGTGTTCTAGGTAATTGTCTGTAACTGCTTTACAGTTTCATAAGTATTATACAACTCTCATATTCCACAAATTATAGAATTTAGACATTAATTAGGCAATTATAGTCAATAGTCAAGGTAATTCTTACACATAATTATTTTTATGTGCAAGAGATTATAATAACTGGAACAGAAATCATTTGTCTTATAGTTTAGATTCCCATATTCCCATGCTGTCTTCTGCTTACCCTTGTGGCCTTTTTTTTTTTTTTTTTTAAAGATTTACTTATTTATACATACAGAACTGGGGTACAGGCCAGAGGTGCAGGGACAGTGATTCACCAGAGACAGAATGGGGAGCAGCAGGCTGGTCAGGAGAGGTCTTCCATGCCATGTGGATCACTTCCAGGGCAGGGATCGAACTCATGCTGAAGTGGCTTTAGCTTCTTAGTGCTGTGCTTTAACCTGTTGTGTCACCAGGAAGGCCCCCTTGTGGCCTTTTCAAACTTAGTCCATGACAGGAGCAGCTAATTTTTCAATGCCTTGGCCCTACTTCCCAGAAAGAACAAACTAATCTAAATAGTTTCCTTACAGATGTACAGATATACAAAGAATTATTTAGAGTAAAATATCTTTGTCTTTTTTGAGGTCAGAACTAAACTTGTATCTTGAAGTTTAAGTCATGATTTACAGGGGGTTCTGAGGATTCTCTCTTTGAGAATTTAAAAGTCAAATTGACAGGGCCCTCCCTGGTGGCGCAGCAAGTTAAAGCACAGCACAAAGAAGCTTAAACCACTTCCGCATGAGTTCGATCCCCGCCTGCCCCGGAGGTTACCACATGGTGTGGCAGACCTCTCATGACCAGCCCACTGCTCCCCTCAGCAGTGTACATCGTAGATCTGCCTGTTCTGCACCCCACTCTGTCTCTGGTGAATCCTCTCACCCTCCGCATCTCTGGCCTGTACCCCAGTTATATATGAATAAATAAATAAATCTTTAAAAAATAAAGTCAGATTGACAACCATCTCTTTTGGATGGGTTTAGGTGCAGTCCTATTAAATTGCAGGGGTTTGGACCAGATGACTTCTTGAGATTGTTTCCAGCTCTGGTTCTGAGAAAGATATATCCCTAAATGGGGAGGGAGAGGGAACCTACCTTAATGAGGTCATCTTTATGTAAGTTATTCCAGTCTAGAATCTAGTCACTTTCTCTGGTTTAACCTCAAATATTAATACTCTCTTCAAATATTATTTCTGTATCTGAAGTACTGGTGGGTGTATGTGGGCAGTCACTAGAATGCACTTTAAATTATCATCCCAACCCGCCAAAGTTAAACATAGTATAAGGAAGATTTATTTTAAATTTTACTAGTTCAGAAATATCAGAATTTTGTTGGAGTGCCATTTTAATATAAATATCCAAAATATTTCTAAAGCATGTGTAGATAATTTATATCATCCACACATAAATTTCAGTATGTGTAACCAACAAGCTTCAGCTACTAGGCAGAAACATGTACAGAGTTGAGGTTCATTGAAGGATTTAGGGGCTTGGATCTAGGAATTGAGGTGCAAGTTTTTTTGTTATCTGTTAAATATGTACTGTTTCTTAATGATATACTCCTTCATTGCTGTTGAAAGTTTATTTAATAACAGTATGTCGGTTCGGACCTGATTTTGCTCCCTGGAGGCCCTTTACTTACTTCTATACAGTACAGTCTGAATTTTATGAAATTATGACTGAATAATTACACATTTATTCCTTCACTGAGTACTTTTTGAGTACTTAATATGCACCATGTACTTTTCAAAGAAAAAGGGGAGAACGAGGCAAAATCTATACCTTCATGAACTTACATTATCATTTACTAGTATTAGACTGAATTTATACTCACTAATACTTCCTGTATGCACTACAAAATCCTTTAAAGGGCTGTGATTTTGTTCTATAGACACTGCCTTCTAAAATAATTGGCAATGGGTTTATAAATTTAAGGAGTACCTCACTACATTATGCTTGTGAGAAACTGGTTTTTGAAAAATATAAATTAATATTCCTCATTTTATGCTAGTATTAAACTTGTGTTAAGTTGGCTATCGAGACTAAAGGAGACATTTTCTAGGAGAATTCTGAAGAAAAGAAAGAATTTTAGGACCTTTTGAGAAAGAAAAATGTTTGATGCCTTTGCGAAAGGGAATGTATATACTGAAGTGGAAGATGGCAAGGAGACTGAGAATTAGAAGGTATAGTTAAGGTGGAATGTGGTATTATTTTTCTTCACTGATAACATGAATGATTTTGCTATCAGAATTACAGAATTTAATTCTGAACATTCCTAATTCTATGTGAATAGAGAAGAAATTCAGGATAGATTGAACAAAGGCAGCACTAAATTTTTCTTTTTTTCTAAGATAGGATCTTTTTTCACTGTTGAAGAACTATAAATAATGTTGTCTAGTTCCTATCCAAAAATTTTGCCTTAGGAGGAAGTGTAGTTGCTGTGACCAAAGTGTAGGGTGAAGTCCAGCTATCATTAGTCACTGACAATTTTAGAAAAACTATTACATATATTAAGGTAGAAGGATGATTAACTTGATGTCACAGCTGTGAGAACACAGGTAAATTCTTTATAGTGGTAGTTTATAGGTTACTTTCAACACATAGTTAAGTAAAAGAAATTTGATAGGGAAGGTCATGCTTGTACTTTCCTGGTAAGGGAAACTGTCAAGATTATTAATTTCTAAAAGTATAACACATGTTAATGATTGCTTTACTCTTTTCATTTACCCTGTGTTCAGAATATTTCCTTGGCTACTTACTTTTATACATAAATGTTTCTAATTGTATCAAGTGTTTAAAAAAGTAACTATATGCTAGGCTTTGGAAGTTAGAAATTACAGTACTTATTGAGTCTCTTGGTTTGAACTTTTGTTTTTCATTATGTACCTCTATTTTCTGGTCATCAGTCCCAATTTAATATTTTAGTATATATGTAAATTTTCTACATAACAGCTTCTGATACGTTAAGGTGTACGCTTTTATTGATGGACCCCAAAATCTTTTTTCTCTGATCATATTAAATATGTTGTGGAAAACAGCTCTGTGATATCAAGGAGAAATCACAGACCACATCAAACTCAGTTAAAATACTGGAAGTAAGAGTGAAGCAATTTTTTCATTTGTAATTCTGCCAGTAATTCTTGTGCCAAAGATGGCCTCTGTTCTTGATAATATATTAGTCTTCCTGTCTTCTTTTACAGAGACTGCTATTCCAAAAAGCCTTCAACTCTCAACAGTTAGTTCATGTTACTGTCATTAACCTGTTTCAACTTCATCACCTTCGTGACTTTAGCAATGAAACAGAACAGCATAGTTACAGCCAAGATGAACAGCTGTGTTGGACACAGTTGCTAGCTCTCTTCAGTAAGTATTAAAGCATTTCTTTCATCCTCTGTGCCATCTTCTTTGAAAATCATAACATTACCTATTCTCATCATTATAACAAAGTGACAGAAAAAATTGTTTTATATCTTAAAATTGACAAGAAACCTAGGTCCTAAGTCTTACCTTTTATCTACTCACACCTCCTCATAAGCTGTATCTGTAACATTTTTAACATGGATGGAGAATGCCTTTTTAGAAAGAAGTTGTTAAGTAGGTTACAGCAAACGGCTCATAATGATATTTTAATTTGGACTAGCATACAATTTCAAACATCTTAAGCTTTCAGAATACATTTTTTCTTTTAGTGTCTTTTCTTGGCATCCTGTGCAAGTGTCCTCTCCAGAATCAGTCTCAGGAGGAGTCCTACAATGCCTATCCCCTTCCTGCAGTCAAGGTTTCCATGGACTGGCTGAGACTTAGACCTAGAGTCTTCCAAGAGGCTGTGGTGGATGAGAGACAGTAGTAAGTGTTTTGTTAGAATTTCATTAGCTCTTCTGTGCTTTGTTTGATATTCATAGATATGTAGAATTCAACATTTGAACAATGGAATACTGTATTTTCCACCTACTCTGGAAATTGAAAAGAAGACCTCTTTGTATGTTTTTATTTAATTGTTTGAATTCTTAATGTGAGGCACAATCTCAAGGATTTCTCACTCCCCATATATTTCCCCTAGTCCTGGTTGCCCACCCTGCAGAAAAGATATTTTCTATATGTCTGAAAACTGGAATAGAAATAAAATTAGTTTATTTTCTTGGTCATTACACTGTACCCCAATACTTCTGCTTAGGAGTTGAAGAGATTTTTTTACTTCTCTCATTATTTTATATACATAAGCTATTTGATGCTGCCTAACACCCCATTGGAACTGAGTTTGTTTGCTTTAAGTATAGAAGATTGAAAGCTGTTTTTGGCTTTCAGTTTACTGTTGATTGTAGGAGTAAATACTTCCCAGTTAGGTTTTGTGGTGAGTAAGACATTCCTCTCCTATATATTATGGTGGTGGCTACAGGGAGACTCTGAGATGTCTGCTGTGTCACCTCACATCTGTACATTACCCAAGGTCACACACTACAGAATGGCCAAGCCACACAAGGTGCCGTGATTCCTCTGTTTCATTATTCTCCTTCCTTTTTTTTCTCTCAAGCCTAATCATAAGCTCCTTTATTTTTGATGCTGTCATGAATAGAGTTTAGCAGCATAGCACAGCTGCTGCATTGCTTCCTTTTCATATCAGTTTTGGCATTAATAATACATACTTTTAGACATTGCTTCCTTGTAAATAATTTTTATTTTTTGACCCGGACACTATACAGTTTTCTTCTCCTTATGTACATTAGAATTCAAACTTGAATTTGGTTCAATAAACCATGTCAGTAATGTAATGAAAGAAATCTGTGTTTTACATTTGCATAAAGAATCTTACAATTTATAGGAGGGAATTGGTATTTTTGCTTTGTATGTTTTCTGTTCCTGTACAATGACCCTTTTAGCCCATTGTGTTCTGTTCCCATTTTGTAGCATAGCAGAAGATACTCAGCCAGAAGAAATAATCATATTTACAGTTTCCCTTCCCTACATTTACCCTTTCTCCTGCCATGTTTATTAAGATAAACATGGGATCATTCTATTTTTAATTTTTATGTTATTATTCATTTTAAATACTAACATGGAATATTTCTCTAAAACTAGAGATTTTTCCTATCTACCATATGCTACATGTTACATGGTAGATAGGATAAATCTCCAATTTTAGAGATATTCTCCATGTTATACATTACATGGTAGATAAACATTTAGTTTTTCATATAGCTAACATACAACCATTTAGCTTTCAAATAATGAGAAAACATCCTAGTTCCCTTTGTGAACAGATTTACATGTATTCACATAATCTTCATTTTCTATCTATTGGAAAATGAATTTTCCAGATAAACTTTTGAATTTCTAGAGCTTATTTTTCCCTGTGCTTTTTGAGAATTTTTCCTTAAGCTAATAAATAAGTAAAGAAGTTCCTATGTAGAAAACAGTCACGCAGAGTAGGGTAAAGTATCATTAAGTCATCCACTCATGTTCTTTTTATGCAATCTGTAGTCTAGAGATCTCATGTTTGTTGCACACATTGTTTTTCTAGTCTAATGCTCTTCATTTTAAGTTATCAACCTTCTTTTTAACTGTCTCTCTTTAACATCTCCAAAGGTTTGTAGCAGACATATATTCTTTGGTATTTGTTTATATAGACTGTTCGGTTTTTTCTCTATATATTCAGCTTTTTTTAAGCACTGTATTTCCATATTGAAATTGTACAACAGTCAAGAAATAGTTTTCAACTTCCAATGCTTTGTCCATGATACGACTATTTCTGTCCCCGCTGTTTGCTTTTTTGTTGACCACACTTTTCACTAGCATTGACTAATTGTATAGTCCAAGAAAAGCCTAATAGTACCTTAAGTAGCTAGATTAATCAACTGTAAGAAAATCATAATAATCATCTTCAGGACAAAACCAGTTATTTAAAATTGTCAGCATTGCCACAATCCTCCATATTACTCCCACCCCAACAAGTAGACAGTCAAGCCAGCAGCATATGTCACCCTTTAGTAAAACCTTTCTCAGTCATACACAGATCATATTTGTAGATTTTTTTTAATGTTTGAAATATAGCAGTTATTCATACCTAATAATTATACTTAATGTGATAGTTAAAAATCTATAATGTCACAGGGCTAACATACTTCACTTAGGAACCAAGTATTTTAATGACAGAGCTCACTTTCTACAAGTGGAAAATATGTGTTTTACTTTTTTGTGTTTAAATTAACCAAAGTTTCATGTTATTTATGTTTAAATATTTAAATACATATTTTCTAATTCAGTGTTGAAATGCCTCTTTTAAGATGTTAAAATACACTTTGTCGCACTTTTGCAAAAATTAACTGTTTAGAAGCAAAGGTCTTATAAGTAACAATGTGTGGACTTTTTTGCATCACACAGAAAAAGGCATTATTCATCACTTTGAACTGAAAATGTGATTGACTATGGTATAACGCTGCCTGGTCACAGATTGAGACCTAACAGTGGATTCCATGTAATATATGGGAAAGCTCTATAAAAAACAAGAACAACACAGTATGTTGCTTCTTTGGTCAGTTTTCTCACTAGATAACAAATTTTTGATGTTTAACAAGTTTTACTAGTTGTTACATTAGGAACCTGGGAAATGACTTCCTGTAGTATATCTTTATCATGGAAATTTGACCTTTCTGGTAATCTTCCAGCCAGATATCTCTTATAAGAGGTCTAGGAAATTATACAGCTTCCTAAGGCTGAAACAAGGGAAAATATATACCGAATTTTAGGCCGATATATATAACACATTTTGATAGCTTTTCAGTGTTCTGAAAAATAATAAATATGCATATTTAAAATGATATTAATTATGTCTTTATTTTTATAGCATTTGGCCCTGGTTGATTTCTCTTCTAAATAGTTTCCATCCCCATGAAGAGGATCTGTCAATTATTAATGGTAAGGTCTACCTAAACCTTTCATGGTTGACAATTGTTCATTGTCATCAGTGGTGAGCATAAGACCAGTTAAGAACCAGGTGTCTTTTGTTAAATGTTTGACTTTTAATTCAGTATCTCAAATGATTTTGAATTGTACCTTAAGTGGGTAGAAACAGCAATAATGTTCTTCCATTTGTTTCAGTAGTTTATTACCCTATTTAATTATCTTTGAATTAAGAGTCCAGAGAGTGCAGTATCTTCACATTCTTTCTTGTTCTTCCCTTCCTGCTCATTTTTACAAAGTTTTTTGAAGGAATTATTGTGAGCAACATTACTTTATTAAAATGGTTTGGGTTTTTATTTTTTTTTTTTTTTTTTTTTTTTTTTTGGTCCTTTTTCTTATGAGTACATATGCACAGCTTTGTACTTGCTTTTTAAGGTTAACGTGTTAACATTTCTTTTTTTTTTTTTTTAATTATGGCATTTTGAGACCTGATTTTTTTTTCTGCTGCATAATATTCTGTCCTGTGGATATGCTGTGATTTATTTAATCATGATCCATTTACTTAAAATTTTTCCCCATTATAAATAATCCCTGCACTGAACAACCTGTAGTTGACTCCTTCCTGATTCTTTTTCTTTTATTAAATCAGTGTTCCACAAAATATTTTTTGCAAAAAAAAAATCACCTAAGACCTTGTTAGGATGCAGTTTATGATTGAGTAGATTTTGGGATTGTCCCAAAATTCTGCATTTCTTACAAGCTCCCAGATGATGTCAGTGTTGTATTCAGTACTTATAGTAACCAGGAGATAATCTACACATTGGGATTACTAGACTTGAGACTGAATTTTTACAAAAGACCCAGGTACCACCCTCCTCTGCATTATGTATGTATGGCGCAATATTAGGCCCCACTGGGCCACTCAGCAAGCAAGGACATAACAAATCAGTTATTTCATTAATATAAAGAGGAACAGACCTTTCTGTATAACAGTTACTCGTTTTTTTTTTTTTGTTTAGTGAGCAGCATTCTGTTCAGAAATACTTTTATTAATACAAATCTTGATTTCTACTTTTCTAGCTACACCACTTCCCGAGGAGTTTGAGTTACAAGGATTCCTGGCTTTAAGACCATCTTTCAGGTGTGTTGCAGCTTAAGGAGGTTTATTTCATTGCTAGTGAGTGCAATATTAAAATTAACTGGAATCAGACTTGGTATAGAAGTCGTAGGAGCTGTCCTAGTTTTGGCTTATTTTTCTAGTAGCAGTAATGAAAGTCTTTTGCTATGAAATAGATTTGTATATGCCTTGCCTTTAATTCTTGCATAATGTCAATAATTACAAAGAAATGGAAGGGAAATTGCTCCTCCCAAGTGGTTTTTATTCACTAAATTCTACTTCCTATACTTTTCTCGAAATTAGAAAGGCAGCTCTTCTACCTGCATGTGACAATGCAGGTGTCTCATTCTTCCTCCTTTTCCTTAAAAAAAAAAAAAAAAAAGTATATACAGATATACAGAGACACACCATACACATTTATAAAAAAGAAACTAGAAAAAGTCTGTTCTTCTCATTTGTCTCTCTTCCTTCCTGTCATTTTGAAGAGTATATTCTTAACTCTTTTTTATTTATGTATCTATCTGTCTATTTATTTTTAAAGATTTATTTATTTGTACATAAGAAGTGGGGTACAGGCCAGAGGCTCAGGGACGGCGAGAGGCTTCACCAGAGACAGAGTGGGGAACAGAACAGGCAGATCAACGAAGTACACTACTGAGGGGAGCAGTGGGCGGGTCAGGAGAGGTCTGCCACACCATGTGGTCACCTCCCGGGCAGGCAGGAATCATGCAGAAGTGGCTTTAGCTTCTTAGTGCTGTGCTTTAACCACCAGGGAGGGCCTATTTATTTATTATTTATTTTTTTTTTAAAGATTTTTTTTTTTATACATGCAGAATAGGAGTACAGGCAAGGTTTAAGGGTGGTGAGAGGATTCACCAGAGACAGAGTGGGGAGAAGAACAGGCAGATTGGTGAAGTACACTGCCAAGGGGAGCAGTGGGCTGGTCATGAGAGGTCTGTTGCACCATGTGGGTCACCTCTGGGGCAGGGGATCCAGCACTCACTGAAGAGGCAGAAGCTAGCTTGCAGTGCTGTGCTTTAACCCGCTGTACCACCAGGGAGGGCCCTTAACTTAACCCTTTTAAGTCTAACATTTGATTTGTTTCCTTGATCTCATCCCTTTTTTATTTCCCCAAGTATCTTGCTCCCTTGTTTTTTTAACTCTTTATGTATTTATTTCCAGTACCTTTTATTACTTCCTGGTAACCTCCTAACTTTCTAGTATGCCCTGTTGTTCTTAAAAAGTAAAAGTCGGGGCCCTCCCTGGTGGCGCAGCGGGTTAAAGCACAGCACAGAGTGGCTTAAGCCACTTCAGCATGAGTTCGATCCCCGCCTGCCCCAGAGGAGATCCACATGGCGAGGCAGACCTCTCTTGACCTGCCCGCTGCTCCCCTCAGCAGTGTACTTCGTTGATCTGCCTGTTCTGTACCCCACTCTGTCTCTGGTGAATCCTCTCACCGCCCCTGAGCCTCTGGCCTGTACCCAAGTTCTGTATGTACAAATAAATAAATCTTTAAAAAAAAAAAAAAAGTAAAAGTCATAGCCCCATCTTTCTTTAATGCTACCCTATTATTTTGATTATCAAACTTCTTGAAAGAATAGTGTGAGATAACCTTATAGACAATTTCACTCGCAGCCACTTCTCAGCCTACTGAAGCTTTAACTCTTAGTGTTCTCCTGGTTACCAGTTCCATTAACTTATTTGCTTCCCAATTTTGTCTTTTTCTTAGTTCTGTGACAAATACTCTCTTCCTACCCTTACCTGACTCTTTCACTTATTTTTTTCTGTACTTCAAGCCTTTTCGGGGTTCTTCTCTTGCCCTTTCCACATTATACATTCTTCTTTTGATTAAATACCTCCTTTTGTCTTGAACTTTTATTTATTGCATAGTTAAGTTCAAATTGTTCAGGTCTGACTTCTCATGAAGCTTGGACCCATATTTCTAATCATCTGATCTCCCTTAACATGATCGGGATGATCTTACATTTTTTCTGTTTGGTTAGCAAAAAATGATCCTCCAAATACTTAACTGTGTGCCATTGTTCACCTATATGAACAAACAAGAAATCTGAAAAATCCTCACTTCCATTCATCATTTTTCTTCTGTGTCTAAAATGCTAGTATAGACTTTATACTATCCCATTGCTAGTGTAAAAACTTTGGTTTACCTGCCTTCATTTGTTTCCATTATCTTTTTTAGTTGGATGTCCAAGGCCTTTTCTAAATACTTAACACTGTATACTCACTCTGTACTTTTCTTGTGTAGCTTTGTATTTGTATACACCCAAAGCTATTCATGATATACCTAGAAGATCCCTTTCCCCTCCTTATCAGCACTTAACCCCTAACTGTTAAAGCCCAGCTCAGTTATCAATCCTTTGTGAAACCTATTCAGAGTTTATCAGAAGAAACTGGTCTTCCTTTTACTATGGTATCTACTCTTCTGCATTTTTTATTATAATGTCAGTCAGATTGAATTTTTTGCTCTATATACATTAATTGGATTTAGATTGGAACATCTTAAAATGAGTAGGTTAATATTTTTTATTAGTATAAGCATCGCAGAGACCCTTAGCAATGCAGTGATCATTTTCAGCAAGTTACTTAGAATGCCAGGTAAGTGTTAGTAAAAACTTAATTCTTACAAATAAGATATTTAAAAAAGTGATTTCTTATAAAAGGTTTTGCTTTATTTAAGCTCCATAATTCGAAAGTGAAATATAAGTACAAATGACACATTAACATAATGAAATTGCATATTGCCTTTTCTTGTTTCATTGTATTTAAATTTGGGGTATTATAAATTCAAACAAATACGTTTATACATCAAGTAGTGAACTTTTGTGGAAAACTCTAAAGTCATTTCAGTTAATATAGTGAGCTTGGTTGCCTGGAAAACATCTTTTCTATAATATACCTACATCAATTTTAGGAACTTGGATTTTTCCAAAGGCCACCAGGGTATCACTGGAGACAAGGAGGGCCAGCAACGACAAATACGACAACAGCGCTTAATCTCTATAGGAAAGTGGATTGCTGATAATCAGCCAAGGTAACAGTCACAGTGATTTGTATTGACAGGCATCTTGGTCACGACAGAGTGTGATGGTGCAAGTGGCTATTTAAATACAAAGCAGATAGGGAAGTTGGTGTGGTGGGAAATGCACAGGTTTTAGAGTTAGAAAGATTTGAATTCCATTTATAATTCTACATCTTCCCCAGATTTGCTGCCTGGGATCACCACAGTTGGTTATAACATTTCCAAAGTTAGTAACTACTTCATATTCATTTTTTGCATTTAGGTCTGTCATTCTGTAAGCACTTACATTATGGTTGGCATGTTTGAACTTTATTACTTCTGAGCTTCAGTTTTTAATACATATTAAGTTGGAATTATAAATAGCTACGCTGAGGGCCTTAACCTACTGTTTGTTTTTAAAATGTGGGTAGTATATATATCTGTGATTATTAGAAAATATTGCAGAAGCATAGGACAGCTGTGATGATATTAAATGTGGTAATGAGAACCTGTGTTTCTGTTTAAATGTTTTTTTGTACCTGAATCCACATTGCTGTATCCTGCTATTTTCATAATGTTAAGATCAGGAATGTATTGACTGTTGGCTCCATACACAGTTCAACTGTTAATTGTGTTTTAGGTTTGTTTTTTATGTATGGATTTATTTTTTTCTAGGCTGATTCAGTGTGAAAATGAGGTAGGGAAATTGTTGTTTATCACAGAAATTCCAGAGTTAATCCTGGAAGACCCCAGTGAAACCAAAGAGAACCTCATCCTGCAAGAAACATCCACGATGGAGTCACTGAGTGCAGAAGGGAATCCGGGACTAAAATCTGTGCTGTCTACAGGCCGAAGTCTAAGCAACAACTGTGACGCGGGAGAGAAACCAATGGTTACCTTCAAAGAGAACATTAAGCCACGAGAAGTGAACAGAGACCAAGGAAGAAGTTTTACTCCCAAAGAGGTGAGAAGGGACTATAGCAAAGGAATAACTGTAACTAAGAATGATGGAAAGAAGGACAACAACAAGAGGAAAACTGAAACCAAGAAATGCACCTTAGAAAAGTTACAGGAAACAGGAAAGCAGAATGTGGCAGTGCAGGTAAGCTGTATTTGAACTATAAAGCAGGTAGAGGAAGGCTCACACAAAAGGCAAGATTTTTCATTTTGTTCCTAAAACCTTAAGAATTGGCTACCTAGAAGCTTAATGCATTATTTAATGCTGCATAGTAAGATTTTTCACAAAGAACTTTGACAGATGGTTACTTCAACACTTAAAAATTGAAATATGAGTGAAAAGAATCCTCACCTGATTTGACATTTGGACAGTGCTCCAGCTTAAATGGCTTGAAAAGACCAGTTACAAAGCCATCAGTTCCTCCAAGAATTAACATTTTCTTTGACAGTTCTAACTGCCCACTGTTAATGCTATCGTGGGGAAGTTTGGGTCCTCAATAGCTCCAATAGAATTAAGAGTATATTAAAACTTAATACAGTTTTTTCAGATTCACCATACAAAATAAAATACTTTCTTGGAAAATAAGTATTTTTTCTTTACACTTACCATACCTGTTTTGTTTGCTCATAGGAATTTGTGAAACAAGAACCCCAGACTTGGCTAGGAAGTTTTAAAATTGCACCTTTTTTTTTTTTTTTTTTTTTTTTTTTTTTTGTGAACTTGGGTTTGTTCATTTGTTTTTTTGTGCCTTTCCAAAGAGGTGGAATATGGATGACTGCATATAAATAGAAAGATCCCTGGTTATATTAAAAGAGCATCAGTGTTTAAATAAATATTGAAGTAGCCATTTGATAACCCATTTAGCATATGTTTGTTTGTAGTAGGCATGAAAAACCTTACATTGTTGAGGGCTTACAAATATACACAGGTATATACAAAGGTACACTATAGGACCTTTAGTGTATTTCCCTCACAAAATTTTTTTGGGGAAAGGGAGAAATAAAACATCATAGTTTTATTAAGACTAGTAATAGGGAGAGAAACAGGAAAAAGTGTAGAAATTTTAAAAAGGCAGAGACAGATACGAGGGAAGAACAAGGAAGAAACCAGGTGAAGTACAGCTAGAGTGCTTTACGGCCAGAGTTCAGTATTTCCTGCCTGTTCTGCCTCCATCCTCTATAACTGCCATCTGGCAAGGTCCAGACTGAAAATCTCCCTTCTGTTTTCTTTTAAATCTACCTGTAGATGATTAAAGAAAGCTGCTCTTTGTACCTCAGCCTATGTTTTCTATTAATGCTACCTGTTCTCCCTCACTTTACTCCTCTTGAGCAGTGCATCTGGCATCTACTTCTCTCTGGTTGCATGTGACGGATCTCAGGCCTGTTCCTTACTGAGGAAAAATATCCTTGTTCATTCTGAAGGGTTGGTTGGTTTGCAGGGTAGAGGGTGACCTAAACCTACATTTTCAGATTGCCCAAGTAAAATGAATTGAATGCCAAAATTTCTTACCTGTGGGTGATTATTAACTTATAATGCTTTTGTTATTTATAGTGAATTAGAGTATAATGGCTCTGGAGCCCATGCCAGGCAATTTGAGATCTCATAGGCCAATCTATAACTTGTTACCATTGTCTAGGCCCTTACATCTTTTATTGGCAATGACATAACTTGTTTTGATTTTCCCTGTTTTTAACTTAAATACTTCTATCATATGCTTTTATTTTTCTTTTAAACATAATGAGGTTTTAAATGCATTCTTAAGACTAGGTGCTTCTTTCTGACAACACCTGATTTCAGATAATCATGTGTTTTTGTTTATCTTGGTCATAGGTCAAATCCCAGACAGAACTAAGAAAGACTCCAGTCTCAGAAGCCAGGAAAACACCTGTAACTCAAACCCCGAGTCAAGCAAGTAACTCACAGTTCATCCCCATTCATCACCCTGGAGCCTTCCCCCCTCTCCCCAGTCGGCCAGGTAAGTAAATATATATTTGGTAATTTATTCTAGTTAATTTAACCATCTATATAAGAATTTCTGTTCACTCTTTGAGCAATTTATATAATATTAAGTATATTTTACTAAACTATAATGTTAAAATTCTCTTTTCCCTAATGCTTATGAAACTACTTTTGAGCCATTTTTCTGTGATTTATGTAACAAGTCCATGACTGTTATCATGAAGGAATTCCTGTCACTAATCATGGCATTTAAGAAAGCACTTTTAGAATACTCCACTTTATTCCAGTACATAGAAGTAACAACCAGTAGTCTCTGTTTAGTTACTGAAATCAAGTTAAAGATTGACACTTTATCTTTGATGGCTAACCTCTGCTTTTTATAGTTTTTCAGAAGACCTCTTCCCTAACTCCCTAGCCCACGTCCAGATAACTTTTTTTTTTTTTTTTTGCTTTTCTTTCGGTAAGTTCCTTTAGAACTAAAGCTGTGTTCTTTTATTTTGAAGGGTTCCCGCCCCCAACATATGTTATCCCCCCATCTGTGGCATTTTCAATGGGCTCAGGTTACACCTTCCCAGCTGGTGTTTCTGTCCCAGCAACCTATCTTCAGCCTACAGCTCACTCTCCAGCAGGAAACCAGGTGCAAGCTGGGAAACAGTCCCACATTCCTTACAGCCAGCAACGGCCCTCTGGACCAGGGCCAATGAACCAGGGACCTCAACAGCCACAGCCACCTTCCCAGCAACCCCTCACAGCTTTACCAGCTCAGCCAACAGCACAGTCTACAAGCCAGTTGCAGGTTCAAGCTCTAGCTCAGCAACAACAATCTCCTACAAAAGCCGTGCCAGCGTTGGGGAAAAGCCCTCCTCACCACTCTGGATTCCAGCAGGTAAGTTAATTGTGTATAGTATCTAACTGAAATGAGGGGAAAGCTAAAAGTATTCTCTTTGGTCAGTTGAAAATTCTAGTTTAGTTTTCAGATACTGCTTGCGTAGACATATGATGATCTTGGGAATACGGAAGTATACTGTTTGCTGTTCAGGAAAATTCAGCTGCTGCTTTTATAAAGCACAATAGATCTTAACTATCATTCTTAGCTGTTACTTCTGTCAGTTTCACAGAAAAAGATTTTCTGTAAATAATTCCCTTCTATTGGAACAGAATTTTGAGGAGATGCTGTGAAAGACAGACACTGGTCTGAAACGTTATCCTCCCCCAAAGCACTGGAAGCAAGAGGAGGAAACAAAACATTGTCTGTCTGTCTCTGTCTCTCTCTCTCTTGCATACACACACACACACACACACACACACACACACATTCATTAAACCTCTTAAATTATGGATTCAAATAGAATGAGTGCCAAAATTGGTTCCAAGAAAGTTCTGTACATTGAAAAAACCTAAAGGAGTAACGAAACTGCCACATTGCCTGGGGTTTTGATGGTTATGTCTCACCAGTTGGTTGTGTGATTACTGATAATTAGTAACTTTGCATTTTATTCTCATCTTAATCACTAGCATATCTTTCTAGTATCAACAGGCAGATGCCTCCAAACAACTGTGGAATCCCCCTCAGGTTCAAGGCCCATTAGGGAAAATCATGCCTGTGAAACAACAGCCCTACTACCTTCAGACCCAAGACCCCATAAAACTGTTTGAGCCGTCGTTGCAACCTCCTGTAATGCAGCAGCAGCCTCTAGAGAAAAAAATGAAGCCTTTTCCCATGGAGCCATATAACCATAATCCCTCAGAAATCAAAGTCCCAGAATTCTATTGGGATTCTTCCTATAGCATGGCTGATAACAGAGCTGTCATGGCACAGCAAGCAAATATGGACCGCAGGGGCAAACGAGCACCGGGAGTCTTCCGTCCAGAGCAGGATCCTGTGCCCAGGATGCCATTTGAGGTGTGTGTCCTTTTCTATCATCAGACATTTTGGAAAGTAGGCCTGAGGCTGAATAGCTTTTGAATTTCTCAAGTAGATGTTCTAAAGGTCACTGATTAATTATGCTCCATAATGCTGCTGAGTAATCCGTACACCACTTGCCTCCTCTTCACAGTTGCACAGTATGTTTAATTGGAGAGCTGAAGAATTCTGTTCTGATTTTGAACTGTGTAGCTCTGGCAGAGAAATCCTGTGCAGAAATCTCTAACACAGCATGTTAGAAAATTCTCAGACAAAGCTCCTCTTAGTTGGGCTGAATCATCTAAGTTTAAAATAGGCTTTCTGAGTATTTAAACAAATTGCTTTCTGGGAGGAACAGAGTCAGCTAGTTGTCTTTGATAGTGGAGTTGCCCTTCCTTACCCTTTTTATTCATGAGAAATAGGTGTGTGTTTGTAACTGTGAAAAAGAGCTGTTTCTATTTGTAGCAAAAGAGATACTAATCACTTTGTTCTATTGTATTGTTTTACTACTTGCCCGCATTAATCTTTTATGTTCTCTTTGTCACTATCTTTGCTTCTTTCTGTTGTCTTGTTACGTCCTGCCACTGGCCTTGTGTCATTTTGCTCTTGTGTTTGACTGTTGTGCTTATTGCATAAGACTATCTGGCTCTGTTACTTCTCTCCTCCCCCCCCCCCCTTAGTTCTCTTCATCCCCTAATCATGCCATTACTCCTTTGTGCTTTGTTTTCCCTTACTGCAGCTCACTGTAATCCTTTCTGTCACTAGGACCCCAAAGGCTCCCCTCTGCTTCCTCCGGACCTGTTAAAAAGTCTGGCTGCCTTGGAGGAAGAGGAAGAGCTGATTTTCTCTAACCCTCCTGATCTTTACCCTGCTCTGCTGGGGCCTCTCGCCTCTCTTCCTGGAAGAAGCCTCTTTGTATGTATTTGACGTAATTCCTTGTTCTAACCTCAGCTTCTTGCCTGAGATTTTGTAGTATTTGGAATAGGTGGTTTCTTCCTTTTGGTTCTTCATAAAATAGTTGGAGAACATAGAAAACAGTTATAACTTTATAGTTCCCCCAAATCTTAGAGTCATTGCTTTGTCACATGTGTTACCCAGAGTATGCCCTGCAGTGCTGCTCACAGTCATCATGTGATGCTGGCCAGATTCACTCAGTTTTCAGTTGGCATTTCCGTCGGAATTTCAGTGCCATTTAATCATGCTTATGAACACTAAGACTTTTTTCTCTTCTACCGAAAATATAAAAGCAAATGTGTTCTGGATATTTTACTGACATTATTGAACAGTGTCTGACTTTTCTGCTTGGTTAGTTAAGAGTCCTGACCTAAATTCAGAGTCAGATTCATAAACATAATGGGTAGAAATAATGAATGTTGTAGGGGTGCTATAAGTGAGTAGATACAGAGATAAATTTAAAAATCATGAAGTCTTATAATTGACTTTTAAAAATAATTTGACCCAGTCTTCATTTCAAAGAATGTCATTTTGGATGCTCATCAATGTCTACAAAGCATTTTGTTCATGTGGGGAGGATAGAAAAGATGGAGGAAAATGCATATTGTGAGGGCTTTCCCCGCCCTTCGCCCCTCAGTAAACCATAAGAATTCTGAATTTTACTTTCTTGTTTCCTTCTCATAATTACAGAGCAAGAAAACATTCATAAGATCAAAATGCTTTGATGTTAACTAGGAGAAATAAAAGCTTAATGGCGCATGATAGTAGCTGCTGTCTCTGGCGTTGAAGAATTTGAGAACTTGCCTGGTTGAGTGGCAGTAGCGACCTCCCACTTCCCCCTCTCTCCCAAGTTAGTGCAAATAAAAGGTCCCCTAGAACAAACTTGGCATAGGGATTCCTTGATGCGAGTGTAGGATTGGGGAAGCCCGCTGCTCTCCTCTTGCTTCTCTGTTGCTTTCCTTGTTGCTTTTTTGCTGGGGCTGTGCATCCCTGCCCACTTGTTTTCTAGTCCTTTAGCTCCTGTCACTCTGGCCTCTTTCATCAGAGACGAAGCTGATGGTGGAACAAGGGGCAGGGGAGCCAGGTCTAGAGTGTGCTTAAAAATGTCTTAGAAAGAGAAACATCTCGACTGTAATCCTGTCTGTATTTAACATCATTAATGATAAATGTATGTGAAAGTACTTTGCATGTAATAGGTGTTTAATAAGTGTTTTGTTGGCCAAGTGTTCAATGACAGGTTCAGAGATTCAGCCTTTTTTCCCCCTAAGTAACTTTGGGCCAATAAATGCAGTCTTGACTTTGCAATAATTGTAATGCAGACCACAGGTAGAGCTGCTTAGGAACCATGTTAACAAAGCTGGTTGCCAAGTGGATTTGGAATGCTTTGCAAGTAATTAATATTGGTGTATTGAAAAATCTGGGGAGAGAAGAGGAGTACATCATTTCAGCATCTTATGTTGAGAGCTTTCTAAATGTGACCATAGGCAAGGGACTCCTGATGTCTTTATCTGCAAAATATTGAGAACTGCCACTTTACTGGGTCTCTATCCTTTTCAGTGTTGGATTAGAGAAGCTGATGAAGGCAGTTCACTCTGACTTAACCTGTGCCTCTGGCACTGAGCTGGTGGCAGGGTGTTACCACATTTGAATTCACATCTTCTCAGCCTCGTGTTGTACAAGATGACAGATAGAATTCTGCTTAATTTGTGGACTCTTACTTTGGCTATATAGAATCTTAAGATTAACATAATGGAAAGCCTAATTTAACTACCTTTTTTTGGGGGGGGGGACCGTGAAGAAATCCCTGTTGGAGAAGCCCTCAGAGCTCGTGTCACACTCATCCTCTTTCCTGTCCCTCACCACCGGCTTCTCTCTCAATCAGGTGGGTGAATAGTGAAGACTTGCTTTGTGCATCTTTTGGGGGCTTGTGTTTTCCCTTCTGCTCTATTTCGGTACATCTGGGTTTTTTTCCCCTTTCCTTCCTTTTCCTTCTGTTAGTATCTTCAGATCTCTGATTTATCCCCTCCCTCTGGTGGGGTACACTAGAGACTGGTCCATTGTGAATTTGAACCCTTCAGCTTCTCATGGTTGAATCCTTGGGGCTCTGTTGTTCATACAAATAAATTATTCAAACTTTTTTAACCTGGGTGGTAAAAATGGAGCAAAATAGTCAGGAAAAATGAACTAAACCAGAAAACTAAAAGAAACAGAAAGAAAAGCCTTCAAAAGTTTGTTTTGCTAAGAAAAGCTTAAGGTATATCCAGCCTCCATGAATTTGAAAATTATATTTAAAAATCTCTTTCCTTGGAATGCGTTTATAACTTGTGTTACCATCTTTCAGGAAAGGTACCCAAATAGCAGTGTGTTCAATGAGGTATATGGGAAAAATCTGACTACCAGCTCCAAAGCAGAACTTAACCCTTCTGTGGCCCCCCAAGAAACATCACTGTACTCTCTTTTTGAAGGGACTCCATGGTCTCCATCACTTCCTGCCAGTTCAGGTACTAACTAGTCTTTAAATTATTGACCTTGAATTTCCTATACTTGCAAATTGAGTTGGTGTGATTTTTGTCATTATACGTGTGTGTTTGTAGTTTTTTTGTTTTTAAGTAACTTCTGTTTAAAATAGGGGGGAAACGTGATGAGTGGTTTCACATAATCAGCCCACTAAAGATGCTTTTTCACATTTCAGTGACCCACAGAGCTGGCCTGTATCTTGCCGTCTGCTGTGTTCAGTTGTGTTACAGTTTTGTTTTTACAGATGTTCATTCTTCGCAGGGAAAAAAAAGTGTGTTTCAAGTAGAAATTCTTTGAGTCCCTGTTTTATAAATGGAGTCTAATTGTAATAGTAATTGCTAATATTAGGCAGTCCTATTTCTGACAGAGAAGAACATAGATAATTTCTCTGAGGAGATACACTGAAGTGTGCTCAACAAATTTTCTACTGTTTGATTTTGATTTTTGTTCTAAGGCAAGCAATGTAAAAAGACAAACTAGTGCATCTTGCAGATTCCCTCATTTTTTACCTTTTCCCCAAAGTTCAGTGGTCACTTTTAGTAGCATTTACATGGTAAGGTCTATAAGAAACTTTAGTTTGGGGTTTGTTTGGATACATTGTACCTACTTGATGTCCTGTGTTGTCCTTTAATAGATCATTCAACACCAGCCAGCCAGTCTCCTCATTCCTCTAATCCAAGCAGCTTGCCCAGCTCCCCTCCAACACACAACCATAATTCTGTTCCATTCTCCAATTTTGGACCCATTGGGACTCCAGATAACAGGGATAGGAGAGCTGCAGATCGATGGAAAACTGATAAGCCAGGTGAGATGTTGCCTTCACTGCTGAGCAAGAGAGTTGCTCAGTTACTCAGTCCTTCCCTGACTGGCATCTGGCACTGTTGTAGCAGCGCTTCATGAGCTTTTCTTCTTTCCCTTCCTTAGCCATGGGCGGGTTTGGTGTTGACTATCTCTCAGCAACATCCTCTTCTGAGAGCAGTTGGCATCAGACCAGCACTCCGAGCGGCACCTGGACAGGCCATGGCCCCTCCATGGAGGATTCTTCTGCTGTCCTCATGGAAAGCCTAAAGGTGAGTGGATTTCAGGGACAAGAGCCATAGAGAAGCCTGTGCTTTCATTCACAAAATGAAAACTAGTTTTATTTCTAAAGCCCTTAATGTTGATTAGTTCTTGAATGGGATTTTTTTTTTTTTAATTAGTGCAATCACTAATGATGAAGCACTATCTCGGGTCAGAAACACAAAGGTTTTAGTTGTATTCTAAGGTTAAGAAAATCCTGATTCATCTTTGGAATGTTTGATAGAAGCCTTTTCTGATCAAGTGGAAGAAGGGTAGCAAATTCAAAAAAAAACTTCCCCCAAAATCTTGTAGACTCTGTGGTGATGAGTTTTAGTAAAAAAAAAATATTCCTATAGAGCATACTTCTACTTTTCCTGGGTTAAAATCATCTTGACTAGCCTTAACAAGAGTCATACAATGACTTTTTCTACTAGTTGGTTTTTTGTTTTTATTTTTTTTTAAGGGGTGTGGGTCTCAGGATATATATGCCTTCATATTTGACTTGGGTTGAGAAACAGATTTTTAAACAACCAGGCATTTCACCTCTGCTGACAAGCCCTGGGCTGTTTTTCAGTCTATCTGGTCCAGTTCTATGATGCACCCTGGGCCTTCCGCTCTGGAGCAGCTGCTGATGCAGCAGAAGCAGAAACAGCAGCGCGGACAAGGCACCATGAACCCTCCACACTGAGGCCACAGTGGTAACCTGGGAATGAAGGCTCCATAAACCATGGCATGTTGGGTTTGCAGGACTGGCCACACAGTCTCTGCAGGTGGCAGCCCTCTTTTCTGTTTCTTGCTGTTGAGAGGGTGTAAGTGTTCCACCAGCCCGCTGAGTGTGCACGACATGTCTGCAGTGCAACAAAAAGAAAACCCATCAGGAACTCTCCGTCCCCCCGGGGCCTTCTGGAGGGAGAGAGAGACTGCTGTTTGTCTCACTCAGTTACCTGACATCACCACCTCTCACCTTCTCCATCGTGCATGTCCCCAGCCACATGGGAAGTGAAAGCTGAGGAGGGAAAGCAGATGGGAGAAGTCAGTGGGAACTTCTCAGTCCTTTATTTCCTCTCTGGGGAATAAAATAGGAATCCATTAATGATTGCTTTGCTGACTGAGAATGTAGTAGAAATTATTCCTAAACATCTTTTATTATTGTTATTGCTCTCAGTAGTAAACTATCACACTGAATTCTTCCATACACACACATGCTGCTTCTAGTCAGTGTGCAGCAAGGAGAGCCCCGCCCACTGTTCCTGAGAGAGGTTGGTGGTGACAGGCCGGGAAGTTGATCTCTCAGCCATGGAAGTGTTCACAAGGGAAAGGACAAGGCCTCACCCTTCGCTCATAAGGTTCTGGTGGGACCTTCTGTGGCCTGGAGACTCGGCGGCATATGCCCTTCACTCTGTAGGTGCTCGAGCCCATCGAGGATGCAGTGTGGGTGGTATGCTGGGCTGGACTAGCAGACGACTGCTGTAGGATATAAAATTAATGTTTTTGATTCCTGTACATTTTACAGTAGCATAGCACGCAGTCTCTCAGAAGGCAGGCTGGCCTTTTGTGGCCTGACACATTTGATAGGTAGAAGCTTTCAGTGTGGTTTATTTTGTTTGTTTGGTTTTTGTGTCCCATCCCACTTACCTCCTCCTGTCCCTTCCGCATTTCCCTTTCTACTCTATGCTGTATGCTAGTAATTGTTTTTATTCTTAATGTGTGCAACATCTGGCCAAGAAGCAACAGCATGGGGTCCAGCAGTTGGGGCCCGTAAGAAAGTCTGAAGAGGAAGGAAACAACAGCATCGCAGGGCCCACAGAGGGGCCAGGCCCCTGCCCAGCTGCAATCTCCCAGCCTCCGCTTTCAGAGTGAAATTCAAGGCAACACGAGTGCATCGTGCATGAAGAAAACAACGAAGTCCATTCTGGAAAATGCAAAAGAAAGGAAATTAAACTTTCATTTGATATTTATTGGGAGGAAAGAGGACTGAAATTTTCTTGTGTGGAAACAGAAGGACAGCATTTGTTTGTCACTTCCTGGAAAAGTAATATTTTAAGGGGAAATTATGGAAACAATCTAAATGTCCAATTGCTGTGCTAGTGGTAGGGTTTCTTTTCCGGGAGGTGTGTGTGTGTGTGTGCGTGTGAGCGCGTGTGCGTGCACGCGCCCTTCTGCTCCGTGTGTGTGTGTGTGTGTGTGTGCACCCTTCTGCTCCCCAGGGGAGAGGTGGTGTGTGTGAGTGTGTGGAGCTAGTGTGTAACTTGAGAGCTGGAAAACAGCTACCGAGCAAAGCACGTCCAGGAGCCCCGGGGTCACTGGAGTCCAGGAACCCCAGCAATGAAAAGGGGTGAGGTTAATGTGCATTGCTCCTCAGAGTGGTTGGAGCCCTGTGTGCTCACATGTGCGTACATGGCTGCTCTTTCAGTTTGACTTGGTGTTTGGGGTTTTTTGTTTTGTTCTCTTGTTTTTGTTTTGTTTGTTTGTTTTAATGTCCAAAAGGGTGAAGCCCCCCTCAACCCAATGGCAATATGAAACCCTTTGTGCTTCTCCCTAGCCCCTCCTTCTGTTCACCTTCTCCTACCTCCCTCTCCGCCTCCTTTCCTGTCACCTCTGCCCACTTTGTGTGTTTGAACTCTGCATTCAGGCAGCTGCAACATTCCAATGTGTGAACTGTCACTGATGCTTGCACCCTAGACAAGCGAACCAGGTTCACCCCTCACTCCCAGTAGCACCCGAGTCCCACCTACAGTCCACTTCTGCATGAGAATTTGGTGTTTGGAATGTTTTGACTCTTGGGGCGGGTTCCTCGCCTTATCATTCTCAATGTGGAGTAATGAGGAGGGAGAGGAGAATCTTCATCAGAAACTGGTTTTGTGTAATAAACTTTCTTTTGTGTTTTGTTTTGTTTTGTTTTGTTTTGTTTTGTTTTGTTTTGTTTGGGTCTGTCTGTGCAAGACCTGCAGCTGCTGAATCAGCTTTGCCTTTAATTAAACCATGTTCTCTCCAACCAGATCTGTGCGTAGATTCTTTCTTATCCTACAAGAAAACCGGATTTAAAAAGAAAGAATTTTAACTATTCACAAGTCACCTAGAGGTCAGAAACAAATATTCTTTAAGATTTTGTTTTTAGTAGCATTCCAAACATTGTGTATTTCTGTGGAAAGGGATGGGTAGAAAGGAACTGATTGGCAAAATTCTTTAATAAAGAATGGCTTATGCAGAGGCATTAACAGTCTACCACTTTTATGCCTGTTCTTAATAAGACAATTCTGTTTATCATTTTGGTCTATAAAATTCATTAAGTCTGATTAGCAGTAATAATTGTTCTTTGTTTTGGAGTTGGATTTCTGAGTTAGGTCCAACTTGGTAGGGTGGCCTGCTGGGCCGTTGGGCAGCGTGCCATCCACTGCTGATGTGTCTGTGTGCCCACTCCCAGCAGACCTTGCAAACCTAGGTGTTGATTCATACATAATACACTATTATTTACTCTGCCCCAAAGCCTACACATTTGAAAATTGGTAACAAAGCCAAAAGTGTTAACAAGAAGCATAGAGGGCTGGTGGTTTAAAGCAGGTGCCTAAGGTCTTTGGAATCGCTCACCCAGTTAACCACTGAAAAACCAGGCTGTTTGTGTAAATGCTGGTCACCAAAAGCAGACCTTCGCAGTCTGCCATGCATATTAGTATATATTATAAACTGTTCACCAGCTGGCTACCTGGAACTTATTTTCATGTTGTTAGTGGCATATATTCACATTGAATTCCTAACATCTTCCTCTGATAAGGCTTGAAGAAATGCAATTCTATTATTTTAATTCTCTATGGAATTGAAAGCAGTATTTCATAGGAACCTAACTCGGCCTAGCTTCTGTTTCAGCAACATGGCTTTTAATGAAGTTTTGTGTCTGCCTTCTGAATTAGCCAGATGATTATTTTAGACTCTGGGAGTCTTTGTTAGTAATGGCACAGGAGTAAGGTTCATTTGTTCTTAGTCCCTGATCCTAGACTCTGGTGTCGTGTAAGTTTTTTTATTAAGGTATCAAATATAAACAGAAGTGCACCAGCCGTAAGTGTTCAATTCCATGAATTTTCACAAAATGGACACACAGGTACCCAGCACTCAGCAAGAAACAAGTGTCAGAAGGCCCTTTGATGCCCTTCCAGACATTTCCATTCTCTCACCCTACCCCTTCACCCCTAGGGTAATCATCCTAAATTCTCACATCAATGTTAAATTTTAACAAGGAAAAGTAATCGTTGACACTTCCAAATGGTGGTGTCTGTACAGTACAGGGAACTGCCCTGCAGATGTGGGCTGTGTCTTGCCAATGATAGCACTTTTCTTCAGCTTAGCAGGTTGTAAAACATTCTAGATCCCTCGAGGAGCACTTTCCAAGTCTGTAGTTGCATGTTCTTCAACGAAAGCTTTGGGGAAAATGCCAACCTTGCCATTGCACTCCCCTTCCAACCATTCTTCATTCACTGAAGAAAGGAAAAGTACTAGTTGAGTTCAAAAACAAGCACAGGAAAATCACTCTACCTGACAACCCCAGTTGTGCCAAGAGGGAAATAAGTGGATGAGGTAAGAGTGAACATGGGACTTAGCCATCTAATTAGTTCCCAACTTAAGACAATGGAGTGTTAAGGGGAAGGATGTCCTAAAGGAACTCTGCAGTCTTGTGAGCCCCAACCCTTCTTCAGCTTTCTGGACTCTACCCTCTACTCCAGGGATTGTTGGAAACTACAACGCCCAACAGTACCATGGAGAGAACGGTGAGGACCCAAGGGCACTGCTAGCAGGAATTCTGGGACATTGGGGGATAAATAGGGCGTGATTGCTGCCTCTGCGCCTGCCTGCGCCTCTGCCTGCAGTATAACTGAATTGTGAGTGCACAGGTGAGGCCGCACAGACAGGCGGCCCAGTCCACTCTGGGCTACCCTGTAACAGGAGGAGTAGAATGCAGGAGAATGAAATACATTTTTTTAAGTTAATAGAAAAAAGCTGCCTGTGCTTTGGGAATCTTTTTGACTATAGGAAACACGTGCCATTGGCTAGGTTTATTAATACTGTTCACTGGTGAATGATCAATGGATTGAGAATTGGAGTTAATGATGGGTTTAGTCCACTTTCATAAAATGTGAGGACTTAACAGCTTCTATTTTGAGCCTGTATTAAGTACAGGCTTTGTACTAGACAATATTCAGACCTCAAAATGACTTCATTGTAGATGTTATCCCCAGTTTACTGAGAAAGGGAGATCCAGGGAGATGGAAAGCTTGTTATAAGATCAGCAAATATTGGACAGCCGAGGTATCACCTCCAAAGACCAAATCCCATACCTCGTTACCACAAAACCAACTCAGGAGTTTGGATTTAAGACATAGATCACACTTGATTGCTGGCACTTCTGCCCCATCCCCAAAATGTGCTTGAACTAGTGTTGGGGAATGGCTGGCCCTTCCGAATTTCTCCCTAAAGTTCCTCCAGGTAACTTAATTGCCGACTGCTGCCTTTATCCTTCCAGTCATGGGCTGGAAGCATTTGCCTGTCTGAGGTCCCAGGAGTGTATTTATTAGAAATGCAAACTTACTGTAGGCACCATCACAAGTCAATCGAGTTTATAAAAGTTAATATGCAGAAACCTTATGAAGTGAGGTTAGAAGGCTCAAATAGATTTCTCACCCACATGAATCTATATAGGCACACTATAGAATCCAACTCGAGATGCCTTGTGGGAAGCAAGACTGCTTTGCAGCCCCAGCAACAACAGCCAGTGAGAGTTCTCCCAATGGTATCAAAACTTGCTGGGTATTATTAGCCTGGAGAAGTTTGGACTGGACTCCATGAGACCATTCTTTCAGAACTACGTAGTAGTGGACAATTGAATCTTCAGGTGGTACACATAAAGTTCGAGAATGAGATGAATATACCTGAAATCAACCCAGTGCTCAGCGAGTATTGTTTATGCTGAGTTGTTTTCTATTTAAGTATTCAAGTTTCGGGATGTTAGATAGGTAACTTCTGGAGATAAATCGACTTAGACTCTACCTCACCAAGCAGGTCTATCTAGAAGGTTATTCTGTGTCTGCTCTTACTTTTATTTCAGTGCCACACCCAAACAAACTCTGGACAAGTTAGCTAGTTTGTGGATATTGACATTTAGAAAATGACTCTGGTTGTTGCTAAACCTAGTTCTTACCACTGGGTTTCCATTCTCCTTGGTGATGTGCACTCGTCATTTGCCCTGCCTGTATTACTGTTTTGAGTAAATTACCACACACTTGTATATTCCCTATCCCATTACCTTTTAAATTCCACTCAATCTGGGTTTTTCTGCCATCAGTGGCAATAGTACTCCTATTTGCAAATGTACAACATGAGTTACAATAGTGCTGCTCCACTCCATCCGTAGACCCAACACTGGGAAATTTATTAGAAATGCAAATTGGTGGGCACATCCTAGGCCTGACTCAGGATCTCTGGGAGCGGGACCAGGGAATTTGGTTTCACAAATTGTAAAGGATGCTTGGGCAATACTGATGTCTGCATCACAAAGAACCCTCTCTCCTTATGATTTCAATTTTGAATGCCTCTGATTTCCTACCTAAGTCAGAAAAGTCACCAGAAATGGCAATTCAGAGAGCTGCTTTTAAAACAAAATTTACCCCATCTTTCCCTCACCTTTGAAGAAGTATGGCTTGCAGAAGGTAAATATCATGTGGCTGAATGCACAGGCAGAGTGACTCCAGCCACCAGTTTGTCAGCTGGGGGAATGAGACTCCAGGGACTTCCAGAGCATGGATGTTTTTAATAGTGCTATTCAAGGCTGTCAATTGGAAGTTTGAGTACTCACCTTTGGTCTGTCTAAAGCCAGGAAGGAGACTGAAAGCACTTGCTACAGTTTAGTGTGTATGTTATTAGTTTGTTCTCCCTTGGGTTTATTTCTGTGGATTAAGTTTCTGCCATCCAGGAGTAGCACTTACCCAGGGATAAAACCAGGATCACATCGCCTTCCAGAAAGTTCAGGTCTTCTGGCTGAGTAGCCTCATAATTGAAGAGCGCTACTACTTGGCTCCCTTCCTTCAACTGAGCTGCTGTTGTCTGGTTATTAACACCAGGATTTTCACTTTCCTTGGGTTCATCTGGAAAACCTTGGTCACCCTGAAATACAATAATAAAGGGCCTGTTTCTTTTCCTAACCAGTGAACTTTGAATTTCACTAAAGGAAGTAGTAAAATGTCAGTATAGTGCCAGGATACAAACTCCTTAAAGCCAAATCTTTATCAGGCCCAGTATGTATTCCTGAAACTAAGGAACCCTGTAATCTCTCTACATATAAAAAGGTAGAGAAAGACACTGCTGTTTCTTCCTTTCAGATAGACAAACGAGACCAGAATTTGCTTCCTGTTCCAACCTAAATTACTCTTAAGTGGGACTCCAGGTCAAGCATGGTTTCTTAGGTGCAAACCTAGCCCCATTTCCTGAGTACCCACAACATGAGGGACCTTGTTAGAAGTGCAAATTACCAGCTCCATCAGAAACTCCCTGAGGTGAAGTCCAACAACCTGTTTCAACCAGCCTTCTCGATATTTCTGGTGTCGGATAACATTTGAGGCCCCCATCTTTCTAAAGCCATGTTAAAGGTCTTATTACTCTAATCTGTGAGGTTATGCCTCTCTGTCAGCACGATGGCCATTTTCTAGTCACAAATGTTGAAAAGAAGAAAAAGGTAATAGGCTGCCCGCTATGATGCATGTTAGCAAGTTCTAGTTTCCTAGTGCTATTTGTTCCAATCCTGGCAGGTTCTCTATTGAAAGGTACTATTCTGCAGTGGGAATGGCCTAAAGAAGTTCAAAGACCTAGTTTAGACCCCTGTTCCACAGCTCCCCAGCTGTTTGTCCCTGAGTAAACCCCTCTGACTGTTCCCTCACCTGAAATGAAGGCTAGAGGAATTAAATAAGATGGCATGGAGTAGGAATGGCTGACATTTATTGAACACTTATTCTGCAACTGTATGATTCAAAATATAAATATTTAAACCTGGCTAAAAGATGGGTTCCTGAACGAGCACATCCTGACTTGTTGACCTAAGAGTAATAGAGACTATTCCAGAATAACCTCTGAGGCAGGGTTGAGTTCCCAAAAAACAGTTTCCTATTTAGCCATATAGCCCGAAGTAGACCACAATAACTGAAAACAATAAAAACAAAAAACCTTTTAAGTGAGGTCATTCACATGTAAAACAGAACCCTTTGTAGGCAGATCTCTACAGACAATACTTGATGCCAAGACAGAGCAAGGAAGTCCTAGTGGGACCCTGCAGACACCCACAGCTGAGCACTGTGCCATTCCCTCCCATGTCAGCCTGAGGCACTGGGTATCTTTGCTCCAATGGTTCTATTCCCTGAAAGTGGTTTTCTGAACTCTTAAATTCAAATTATAAACTAGAGTCCATTCCAGGCTCTTCCACCAACTCCATCCTTGACTCTCCCTCTCTTTTGCTTTTTATTCCTCCCCCAACATTTGATTTGAGTGAGGATCTACCAAAACCCTTCTCTTCTATAATTAAGTAGAATTCCCTACCCTCTGTGGAAGTGAAGGCTTGGCAGGCAAGAACTCAAATTGCTGAGCCCCCAATGCCGGGAGGAGGGTTGGGAAGAGATGCTACTTCCCCCGGGGGTGAGGGAGGGGAGGGACAATGGCCTAGCCGGCCTGGAAGTACTTTCTTGGCATGGTGATCTCCATGGTCTCCAAGTTCACTCACAGTTGACTATTTTGGTCACTGATGTATTCACATAGGAACTATTTAACTTTATGCCCCACCTCCCAGACTAATATAACTGCAGATATTCAATCTAAAAATGCTAACGCAAAAGATGTAGGTAGAGAAGAAGAGCTGAAAGTGTCAGAAACCCCAGCTAATGACAACTTTGGTCAGAGGAGCCTGTGGTCTTAATAACTTTGTGTCAGGACGCCCCAGGCCAGGACGCTGGATGGGGAGCTGGTTACTGAGAGGAAGTCCTTGGGCAGCGTCCCTTAGGCACCTGGCCTTGCTCCTGCGCCCCATAAACCATCAGCCCAAAGCAACACCTGACTTTTGACATCCCCTCCCCACCCCCAACCCCCACTCCTGTTCAAGCCCTGTTTCCTTTCCGGCCTTGTCTCCCACATACCACTCTCTCCCTGTGTGATGGCCTCAAACACTGAGCCCTTCACCCACTAAACTGAAGTCTGGCTTGTGCTCTCCTAGAAGACGCAACCCAACCCCTACCTTACACATTTCTATTTACCATTTAAGGTAAAGCTTCAGGATGACTTCTGTGTCCTTTTCTCCAGGGAGGCTTACGACTCATTCCTTTCCCACTGGCAGTTTTGGTGCGACCCCCTCTGTGTGCTCCCATCACCCCGATGGTCACCAACTCCCTCCGCCTACCCAGCAGGATGCTTCATGGTCATCTGCTCACACTCACCCCCACCCTGAGAAGGTCCTGTGTCTTAGTTTTACATCTTGCGCCTACCTCGAGAGCAGTGTGTTAATACTAAATGTCATTGGTAAAATATGTGGGCCAACAGGTAAGTAGATAAGCTAGTTGTACCACTTAGCAATCAAAAGAAATGAGCGATTAAAGCACAAAACAGAGATATACACAGTCCCATCCATTATGTGGAGCTACATAAAAGGCAGAAAAAGATGTTGACTTGAGCTGTGTGGTCATCAAGGGCTGTGTTTAGGGGAGGCAATTAACATCAACAATAAAGAGGAATGGTGACTTTCCCTTGGAGACCTATGGCCCTTAGTCTCCAAGGGTTACCTTCGGCACTATTTCTGCTTTGTTTAGTGTTACCTTCGGCACTATTTCTGCTTTGTTTTGACTGCCTTCATTCCTGGTGAACAGTCAGTTAATTGTTTCCTCAACTGCAGGCCCAATAGCTAACCTGCCTTTGGGCCTGTCGGTATGGTGCTCAAGGGGTCAAAATGTCTGCCTGAGCCTGTCTCTGTACTGAGAGCTGTGTCATCTCAGTCATCTTGGCCTCTCGCTGCCTCATTTCCTGAATTACAATATTGGGGCAACAACCATCCCCACAAGTGCCCGAGATCATAGCAAGAGCGTCCGGCACAGCGTCAGGCCTGGGGACACCATCACCGCTGCTTTGAATAGGTTGTTATCCAACCCATCTTTGTGAAGTAAATGCCTGTTTCTTTTTTTAATTCTCAAGTGTTCTTCCCCATGGAAGCTTAAGGTGAAAATTGGGTAGTTCTTGGCCCAAGACTGTCTGCCTCCCGCTTTCAAAAGCAGTTTTGCCTGCATGTGTCCATGTAGGTGCCTCCATCCATCTTTTTCCTAGTAAACCTGTTCTTTCAAAATGCAAAAGAAGAAGTAGAAGGCAAGAAAAAAAAAATGACTGAATTCAAGCTCCAGCTATGGCTTCGTGAGTGTCCGATGTGTGATCCTGAGAAAATGCTTAGAAGAATCCAGTACTTCTTTGATACCGAACTCTGAGCATAGACAGATGTAGGCTCACACAAAGTGGTAAGGGCTTTGCTGGACCTCACTGCAGCAAAAGGCCAACTGATTTAAAGTACTATTTCCATATGCTATGAAAGCAATGATGTCCTTAGCCTAGGGGTTAAGTCTCAGCACTCTCACCACTGAGGCAAGAGTTTGATCCCCAACCAGGGAGCTGACCCACATGGCCCAGCAGACCTCGCCTGAGATAATTCAGTGGAGCAGCAGGTGGAAGAGCTTGGGGCTTTCTCTATGGCAGCTCTTCTGTGGGGACTCTCTCCTGGTAGAACAAAGGAGGCAGAGTCACCACTGGTCACCGCCATGTCCTCCACACCAGACATGGCACCTGGCACACAGGAGATGCTTGATACATACGGAGATGTGGAGGAAGAAGCCTGCTAGAAATGCAACCTCGGACACCTGAAGCTCACTGCACTCACCACGCTGTTCTCACACCACAGAGTCAGGCAGTAGTTTTTCACATGATCCCAAGCAGCCTGCATGTTCTCCTCTGAAAGGGGGACCACCTCATTGCTGTCCCGAGGGCGATAGCTGGGCGGAAACAATGAGTAAGAACCAAGTCAGAGAAGAGCGACTCAAACCACCCTCCTCTCCAGGTCCCAGCTGCTTGCCCTCCGCATTGCTCACCTGAGCTTAGTGTGTTCCGGCAGGAGCTTCAGTTTCTTAGACACCATGCCGAGGACCTGGCTATAGGGCAGCCCCAGCTGCATCTCCATGATCACCGTGTACTTATAATGCACCTTGACGGTGTAGGGCATGGGGATGCTGAGCTGTACCTCCTGGGGGGAAGGAGAAAGGGAACTCAGGAGTGCCTGAGAGCTCCCCTTTGGTGCATCCTGACTCACTGTAGCTGCACAGGGCGGCGTGGGAGCACTCCATGCATCAGGGAGGAGGCCAGCAGGGCACACGAAGTATCTTCAGATGTCCTTGCTGGGAGTTCCCACGGGGTGATCTAGCCTAGCAGCTTAGACAGGTAGGAAGTGTGTGGATGAGGGGGGTCTTCAGCCATGGACTGTGTGCACTGTGGCAACGGGCTGGACCATCCTTTGGGATTCTCCCCATCCAGGGAGACAGGCCTATGGCGAACAGCCCGCCCTTTGCTACTAGTTGAAATAGTTCAAGGAAAAAAACATTACCTTGGACTCTTCTTTCTCTTTGTGACCTAAATGGGTACAGTGAGGAGTAAAACAAAAGATGGTGAGTGAAGGTTCTTGGCCAGCCCCTTCCATTCACAGAACCGAACCTCTTAGAAAAGGTAGCAGACTTTTGACCCTTTTTTCTCTGGACTGCCTATTAACCTCAATCAACTGTGGGGTAACTCTCACTCTGAGGAAGATGTGCAGAGAGCCACAGTGTATCAACAAGCCCAGTCTTTGTTTCTAGGGAGCACAGAGTTCATGATCAAAGGTCACCAGGCCATCACTAACCCAAGGGAACAGCCAGGGTCCCCAAGAGCCATCTCACCAGGGGCCTTGGAAGGAGCAAAAAGCAGGCAGTGCAAGTGAGCCAGGGATCACAAGGAGAAACCAGTCACATATTTGAACCCTGCCCTTTGCTTTTGCGAATTTTCTGATGTGCTTACTACATGACTCTCGCAGTAGGGATGTGGCCCTGCAGGAGATGTATGCATAGGATAATCAATATGGGTGATGATCAAAACACACTACTGGTCCCAAACCAACTTGATCATTAGTATCACCTGGTATTATTCTAGAGCTACAGATTTTCAAGCCTACTCTAGTCCTAAAAAGTCAGAATCAAAAGTCTATGAATCTATACTGTTCAAATCTCTCTAGGTTAATAGGGGATCCATGGTGGAGCCCTATGCAGATGATCAAAACAAGACAAACAGCTCTCAAAAATGCATGGAGGCAATTGAAGAAAATTGAATCGCAACTGTACGTTGTAAGAGAATGCTAGTATTAAATGTAGGTCTGCAATTCGGTTTTCGTCACTCAGCACATCCTTGCTCTTGGGGGAGTTATGCAGAGAGTAAGTCAATTTTATGAATCTAACTTACTTTCAAGTGGCTCAGTCACTGGGGAGAAAAGATTATACGGCGAGAGGAGAACAGGGCAAGTACATGGTGTAAAATGTGAACAGTAGGTGAACTTAAGTGAAAGGTGTCAAGTGTTTACTAGACCACACTTTCAACTTTTCAATTGAAAGTTAGGGGCTTGACATTTTTCAAAAATATAAAAATGGGGGCCTTCCCTGATGGTGCAGCGGGTTAAAGTGCAGCACTAAGAAGCTAAAGCCACTTCAGTTTCAGTTCGATCCCTGCCCCGGAGGTGACCCACAGGGTGTGGCAGGCCTCTCCTGACCCATCCGCTGCTCCCCTCAGCAGTGTACTTTGTCAATTGGCCTGTCCTGTCCCACTCTGTCTCTAGTGAATCTTTTCACCGCCCCTGCACCTCTGGCCTGTACCCCAGTTCTGTATGCACAAATAAATAATCACATATATAGGAATAGGAAGCATTCCCGGATTCTGATGACCAGGTGGGCAAGTTATTGATCTGGAATCTGAGTAAACCACCTCTTTGTACCTCTCTGCCAAATACGTGTATTCAAATGCCCCTAAATGGCATTAGGGTCAAGAGTCCATCATGCCCCAAGGCTGATCTTCCCTTCACAAACGCCCTGGTTCTGTGTCCCTCCCTCCAGACTGCAGGTACAGTGGCTTCTTACCCAGGTAGGGTCTCCCAGACATTTGAAAAGAGCCACTTCACCCCCTCAAATATGCAGTTATTTAGACCTTTCCTTCTGGCATGACAGTGTTTAATAACAGAGAGGGCTATTGAGGGGGCCTTTGAAGGGAGCCGTTGAGTCTGGACGTATACTGTCTCAAGAAACCAGCCATATGCTCCCACACTTCCCTTCATGGAGTCTGCACTCATGCAGTCCACGTTCTCCCAAGCCCATGCTCACACAAGCTCTTGAGTGTGCTCGAGCAGGTGTTCTGAGTGTGTGGTGCAGGAAAAAGGGGTTCTAGGGTGGAGTGGTCCCAAGTAGGGAGACAAACAGGTAGCAGAAGCCAGAATTCCCTGGAGGGCCAGAGAAGCAGCCCCAGCATCCCTGCGCCCCCACCTGGTATGTTGCTCCGGGAACACTAACCTGGTGACGATGGGGGTCTCCCAGGGGCACTAGAACTGGGAGGAGCTGGGATATCATATTCTGGGGAGGTTTCCTGGAGGTGACAGAGGAAAAGATGGTCAGAATCGTCCTCCAGGCAAAGTTCTTAGCAGGATAGGAGGGGAGTTGAGCAGAGACACTGGAGAGTACCATGGGAAGGAGCCACGTGAACATGACTTCCGGAAAGTTAGGGTGATGCCGACTTTAATGAAATATGATTAAAGGGAGAGGCATGGTCGGCCCCATGAAAAAAGAAATTGCTGGGAATAAAAATCCTAAACCCCATAGTAACTCTGTAAGGCTTAGTTACCCCTTTCAGGCTGGCAGTGGATGGAGGGGTCTTCTGTACCCTCAAATTCCCTTCAAAGGAAAAAATCTCAGATGTGTAGAATTTAAAACTTTCCAGTCATCAAGATCAGTGACTGAGCAGGGAGGGCCAGGCCCACACAGGACACGGGACACACAGTCCACAACAGGGCTGTGGCCTCAGTGCCAACCCCAGCCGCCACCAGACTGGCTGCAGGCAGGACAGTGAGGGGTGATAGTCGGGCAGCGGGCAGGGTAGCCCCAGGTCCTTGGGCTGCCAAGGCCTACTCAGATTCTGCTCTAGCTCCCTCCACTGTCCAAGTGGCATATCACCGGCCAGCACCCTGAACCTTCTTTTCAGGGTGGACATATCTGGAGAAACCTAAGCTCCATAAACAATAGGTTTGGGGTCCCACCTTGACCAGGAGGAATCAGAGTGGGCCCAGCAGGTCCTGCCGAAGCCTCCACTCTGCCCAGCTGGGGTTTCCCTTCTCCCAGGGGGCTGCTCTGGGCAGTCAGGACCAACTCAAGGCCGCTCAGGACAGTGACTCTTCAGTGATCACAACTGCACCTCTTTCCCTATTCCCCAGCCCTCCGACCCCAAGAGGTCAGGCGATGGCGGAGGGAAGGGTCAGACCTCTGCACTGAGTTACCTGGGGCTGCTGTTGAGGATTAATCCGTAGCTCCACCGGTTCGAGGTAGTTACAGGGAACAAGCCCCTTCTGCGGTGCAACATCACAGAATCAGAACAAAGAAGCAGGAGGCCACTCAGAACCCACACACAGGTGCATGGCAAGGGCGGGCGGGCACAGGAAAGAGCTTGGCCGTCTGCCCTCAGGTAATGACGCGACCTCCGCAGAGCACTGCCACAAGCTTCCAGGGTCCAAGGCCCACAGCCCCCTGCAGCCCTCTGCAGCCCCCCAAGCCCCCCAAGCCCCAGACCCACCCTGGGCTGAGTACCTGCCCGTTGAACATGACTGTAGCCCAGTTATCATTGCTTTTCTTCAACACAAAGACGATGTTCCCCGGCATGACCTGGAGCTCCTCTTGTGTCTTAGGCACAAACCCAAAGAGCACTCGATGAGCTTCGCCTTCCAGAGCCCTGGGGGAATGGGAGAGAGACACCCTGACCTGCCAGTTCCACGTTGGACCCCACGCCCTCCCAGGCGCCTCGGGATGCCACAGGGACCTGGAGCCAGAGAAATCCCTCCAGGGTTCCTCCACCACCACTGCTCACCGCCCATGTGACAACTGAGCAGGGATGGCTTGCTGGGCCTGCCCAACTCCCCACTCCCCGCCCCGCCCCCCACCCCAACACTGCAGACTAGGCTGCCTGTGAACTTGCTCCGTGACCACTTGCAGTGAGCAGAGAATAAAAGTTCTCTGGGTACTAAGGCCTTGCCACCCCGCCATCCCTTGGCTTTTGGAAGGAAGGCTGCTGTGTGCTGGGTCAGCGCCCAAGTCCCAGCTGGGCTGATGGGGGATCCTGGTGAGGGAAGGGCCCCAGGTGGAAGACAAGGGAGAGCCACTTAGGGAGAGAGGGCCTGAGGGGAGGGGGAGAAACCACCCCAAGCCCAGTGTCCAGGCACAGCCAGGAGGGGGTGAAGGGCAGGAGTTCAGGGAGGCACAGAGGCCGCAAGGCTGCAGTGCTGTCCTTGGGTTCCCTTCACCATTTCAAGACCTGCTTTGCCCTTTGCCCTTGAGCCCGGGGGCTCGGCTCTGGGGCTCTGAAGGGACTGTGTGGCTGGCTTCAAGGCTGCCCAATACATTGGGGTTTGAGCCTCCCTCACTCTCCCTGGGCTGGGGTTCGCCCCAGACCTCCTTTCCGGTTCCAGCTTACAGACTCCTTGGCAAAAAGTTTCAGAATGAGCCAATGCAGCCTCCTCATTCTTACAGTTGCTCTGGTACTTTCACACTTTTCCTTGACATTTTTTTTTGTTGGTTGGAAGAGCTAGGCTTGTATCTTAGAGCAAATTCTCAAGAAAGCTGTAGGTTCGGCACCCTTTGTTTCTCCTCTCACAGAAGAATGACTTCTTTTTCTTGAGTCCTTCCCCTTCTTTAGAAAACGTGCCCACAGCGAGTGAAACACCCCAACACACACACACACACAGACAACACTTAGCTTCCCCATCTGCTCTCCTGTGGCCAGAGTTTGGCTTCCCCTCTTCTGAGGGGAACTGAAGCCCAAGCCTGGTCCTGTCATCCAGGGCTATTTCAGGGGACACTTCACTACAATGGGCATGGGAACAGTGTAGCTGTGGCCAGGCCCCTGACATGACCACCGTCGAGACACACACGCCCCCCATATTCCATTCTAATCCTGAACACAGAAGGAGTCAACATTCAGGCTAATTCCACAAGCCGTGGCCCCTGACACAGCTTCATCCATCCATCCTTTTACTGCTGTAAGCTCAGGCTGGGAGCTTGGATACTCTGCACTTTGGTCCACATCCAACTCACCTGAAGATTTCTGGGGTTTTGGGTCTGGGTGGAGGCTCCGCTGTCTATTGAACACGAAGGAGAAGGGAAGGGGGCCGGACAAGAAGGAAAAGAGGGAGGGGGCAGAGCAAACTGTTAATGGTAATTTGAGCCTTTTTCCAGGCCAGAAATCAAAGCAAGAATTTCTGGCTTCATCACCAACACTGCCTAGGGAGAGGCCGCTGTGTACCCTGACTAAATAAAGGAAAATAACACCTCCCACCAGCTCCCTGGGCACAGGTTTTCCAGGCACAGCAATTCATTGTGAGTGGACCTGGTTTCTGGAGACCTTTAATGGTCACAGAGCAGCATGTTGGCAGGGGGCACTTTTGACCTTGAACTATGTCCTTTTCCAAGGACAGGTTTTAAAAACTCTGTTCTTTTATTAATGTCTGTCTGTCGTTGACACTCGGGATTTAATCAACTTTAGAAAAGATCCCTGAAAATAGTCTGACATGTGTGGTTAGAATCAACTCAAGATCTACTAACCAGGCAAGAATCTCCTTTCAATACATGTTCCCATTCTGCATGCCTGCCCTGGAGCCCAGGTAGCTCCCTGGGCTTCTTCCTTCTCTTGAGTCCTCTGGCTGCTCTAAGCCCAGGGCACCTCTCCCCATAACCTCATTGTGAAGAGGGACCCAAGCAGCTCAAGTCTTCGTCTCTGTTGCTCATCCTGCCTCCCAGGGCCCAGGGCTGGTCCCATTCTGAGCCAGCAGTCAGCAATCTGTCCCTGGGCTGTCGGGGAGCAGCTGGGCGTGTGCATGCTGCCAGGACACCCCCCCCCACACTAGCACTTAGCCACACCTCCCATCATGGTTCTATTGCCACAGAGCTTGTGTTTTCTTCAGCCAGACTTACCAAAACTCTTCCTGGCTCTAGAAAGCTCTGCCTTAGCTTCTCTACACCCACTATCAACCTGCCCATCTGGAACCATCTTCCTGAAGGCAGCTTGGGTCACTCGGGGTACTCTGCCATCCCTAGGGTTGTTTCCTGCACACGGTGGGTGGATGGGGCCAGAGAGGCCACAGCCTCAAGCTCCCACTACCTCCTGTGTCCTAGAAGAGGCTGTGTCAAAAGCCTTTGATAACATGTATTTTAACATTCTAAGAGAACATTCAAGGCTTCAGGAGCCACAACAGAAGAGGTCTTAGAACTTAGAGAAATAAGACTGTGTTGTGGTGGCATCAAGGAGCTGGTTTCTGAGGTATTACCTGAAAATGCCCTATCCCCACCAGTCATGGTACTTGGTTATAGGTTTCATGTCCTGTGCCATGATCATCTTGTTACGTGATCAGGAATGGCCAGGCACACCATCCTTTCCCCACTCCCCTCACCCGCAATGGGAAATACCCTTAAAGGAGGCCCATCAGCACAATTAATGCCCCTCTTCGGATGTTTCTCAGAGAACTCTGAAACCTGACGACCATGGAGGAGGGCAGGGCCTCACCTGTGGCTGCAGAGGAGCAAACCCAGAAAAGCTGTCTTGATCCACCACAGAAGCCACCACCTGGAATCAAGGAAGGAAGGCATGAGTCCTGCCACCGCTGCATCCCACCTTTTCCTAAGGCCCTCACTTTTCTTGCCCCCTCAGTCCTTCCTCACCAGTGCCTGGTTCCAGAAGTGGAGAGTGGCTACCATTTGGGTTGCTGGCACCTGGATTAGAAGTTCTAGAAATGTGTACCTATCCCACTCCCACTAAGCCCGCGGGCTCTTTCACTCTCCTTGAATTTCTTCTTTAAGTGACATTCCCATAGCATATGACTAACCATTTTAACAGGAACTCTTTTTTTTTTAAAGATTTATTTGTGCATACAGAACTGGGGTACAGGCCAGAGGCTCAGGGGCGGTGAGAGGCTTCACCAGAGACAGTGGGGAGCAGAACAGGCAGATCGATGAAGTACACTGCTGAGGGGAGCAGTGGGCGGGTCAGGAGAAGTCTGCTGTGCCATGTGGTCACCTCCGAGGCAGGCGGGAATTGAACTCACACGGAAGTGGCTTTTAGCTTGTTAGTGCTGTGCTTTAACCCGCTGTGCCACCAGGGAGGGCCGTGACTAACCATTTTAAAGCTAGCAACATAGCATATTTACAGTAGCATCTCACTGAGAGCTGACTGGGTAAAGCTGTGGTGTATGTGCACATGATGGACTAAAATATTCAGCTGGAAAAACAAAGAGGAAACCAACCAATGGATGGACCTCGAGGGTCTTATGCTTAGTGAAATAAATTAGATGAAGAAAAACAGATACACGAATTTAGTATGATTTCACTCGTGGCAGCTAAAGAAACAACGCAAGTGAATGAAATAAATAAAACAAAAACAAACTTCTAGACTCTAGGACCAAGTTAATGATGAGCAGAAGGGAAGGAGGTTTAGCCAGAGGATGCTAAGAAGGGCTGTTTGCTTAGGGCTGTCTCTGCAGTTAATAGGATAATAGGTGGGTCAATAGGATAAAGAGGTCATTTGTATAGTGAAGGATAGAGTTGGAGTTTTAGAGGTTGGAGTTTTAGTATCCACAGATGGGGACTTTTATAACGATGCAAACCTAAACATTATATAATGTTATAACGTGATATTACTTCAATAAAACTTTTAAATAAATAAGGTGAACATTGCAATGGTATTTAGCAACTACCATGTTGTGTTCTCACTTCTAATTCCAAAACATTTTCATCATCCTAACATAAAAATACCATGTCCATTAAGTAGTTAATTTACATTCTCTTGTCCTAGTACCTGGTAATCAATAGCTTTACTTTCTCTTTCTGTGCACTTACCTATTTCAGATCACTCATACATGTGGAGTTACACCACATGGCTTTGTGTTTGCCTTCTTTCATGTAGCGTCATTTTTTTCAAGGCTCATCCATGTAGTGAGTGTTAGTACTTCACTCTCTTTATGGCTGAGTAATATTCCATTGTGTGGCTATATCGCACTTTGTTCATCCCTGATGGACACTGAGGTGTGCCACTCACTCAGGCTGCTGTCTTCCACATTGCTCCTGGGCCCAGTTATGCTACCCAGGCCCTGAGCTACCCAGGCAACCTCAGCCTCTACCATTGTGTCAGAGTGAATGCAGTTTTGGAAGGGAGCCGTTGGCTCACTGTAGATCATTTCTGAAAGGATTTCCTTCCTGGATTCAATAGCAGCCCATTTCAAAAGGGATCTAATCACAGTGGGGCTTCAAGGAGTGTTTAGCCAGAGGATGCTACGCAGGGTTGTTTCCATGGTGTTCTCTTTATAGTTAGAAAGTGCCCCCTAGCTGTGTTTTCTTTCCATTGGTCCCGTCACCAAGACTCAAATCCTAGAAGTAACTACGGGCCTTGAACCCAGGGTCAGGCAGGAATGAAGTAATAAGAGCCACTAGGGGAAATAAACCAGAAGGCTGTGCTCATTTTTCAGCAGCCTGAACACTATCAGCAAGCCTCTCCCTGTCATCCCAGGCAAGAAGCACAGCAGGTAAACACTTTCCTGAATTTTTTCCACTGTACTGTGGTATCAGGAGGCTCTGGAAGAGCCGAATGACCGCACTCACTGTGGCCTTGCCCAGGTAATCCTTCTTGGCCAGCTGAGCCACTTGTCTCTCATTGGGCCGAAACAGCTTTCCCACCGGGATCACCACTGGTTCATACAGCTTCTGTTTCTAGAACACAGAGAACATCATCTTTCATTACCTGCCCATCATCCATCCCAGAATGGATGCAAGGATCATTGAGATAACCCCCAAAAGTAGCTTTCCAAGGGACAGAAGTGATTATGTCAGAATGTCTAAGGTAGGAAGCGTGGAGTGACAATCGCCTTGCCCTGACAGCTGTGCAGACACCATTGTGCTGTTTGCCCTGGCAGCCTCAGTTCCCAGGGATCTGCCCTTCTCTCTGTGCGGCTTGCATGGAGCTGTCACTCATAGCCCCGGAGGGTGGCTCCAGACACAAGCAATGTGGTGCCAGTCTCTCCTGGGACTGGCAGTTGCTGATGCCGGCTGGCATAAATAGGCTGACATGAGCCCCTGCTCCTAGTTATATATATATATATATATTATATATATATATATATTTTTTAATATATATATATATTAAAAAGGTTTTATGTATTTATGCATACAGAACTTGAGTACAGGCCAGAGGTGCAGGGGCAGTGAGAGGACTCGCCAGAGACAGAGTGGGGAGCAGAACAGGCAGATTGACTGAGATACACTGCAAGGGATGCAGTGGGTAAGACAGGAGAGGTCTGCCAGCCATGTGGGTCACCTCCCTGGCCAGGGATGGAACTGGTGCTGAGGCAGCCCCAGCTAGCCTCATAGTGCTGTGTTTTAATCCACTGCACCACCAAGGAGGGCCCCCTATTCCTAGTGTTTTAAAATAGGATTTCAAACTAGCTTCACCCTCTGGATAGTGCACCATCCGTTCATATAATCAACGTGTTGGCAGGGGGACCATTACATGCTTGGGGTGACACAGCTTCTGCCCATATGCTGGCTCCAGTCTCAGCCTCCCTCTGCCCCTGTGCTGCCATGGCAGGGGCCAGGCCAGGGCTCTGCTGTCCTGACCTCCCACCCTTGTCTGCCTGCACCACCAGAATGAAGATTCTACATGTAAATACACCCCAAGATAAGAATTACCCGGACCCCAGAGGAAGGGGAAGCCTCGCTTTCACAGCTTCTCAATCTCCATGTCCAGTGAACAAATGAAAGCCAGGGAAGTCATCTCACCATCCCGCCTCTCTGGGCTACTTACCCAGACACATTCCATCGCCTTGTCAATTTTGGAATGTCTGGGCTCAGACTTCATGTTCATGGCCAATGCTAACTGTTCTTCAGCCTTTTTCCAATCCTCCTTCTTGGCAAATATGAGAGCAATATTATATAACACCTGGAAAAGAACAGGCATAAAACTTGAAGCTGATTCAACTTGGTCCCAAAGAAGAGCTTGCAAGTGGACTCTCAGTATCGTCTGTTGCCTTGTCTCCCTTTCTCAGGCGTCCTGGGAATACCTCAAACACAACACAAGTGGTCTCGCTACCATGTTCTGTCCAGCGCAAGCACAGCATCGAGAATACATGATGCCATGAAGGAAACCAACATCATTGCGTTCTTCCAACCCTGTGTCAGTCAGGAGGGGCCAGGAAACCACGGTGTTGTTTTAGTAACAAGAAGGACTTGCCCAAGTCCTTGAAGAGCTGGGGATGAAATATAGGCATGAGGGTTGGGGGCTGGGGGGAAGGAGGTTCCCAGTGCAAGTCCTGCAATGATAGAATTCAGTCCAGAACAGGAGTGGGAAGACTGGGATAGAGCAATGAGCAAGGCACCGCCCATGTGCGGGTGTCCAGAGGGGCTGGAAGGAGACACAGCAAAATCCTGGACAGTCCTTCACCTCGATGGGAGGTGCCACATTCAGCAGTCGTCGTAATTTTCCAGGTCTCCAGTGGGGCGGTAAATTCACAAGTCTTTGTTTTATTATTATGTTGCACTACTTATAGCCAAATAAGCATTTGGATGCCTCCAGATAATACAAACCACAAAAGTAAAAATGATTTTCAAGCAAAGGTAGAAAAATAATAGGGGATAGAAGAAGATCAAGATGGCACTCACAAGGGGGTCTGCTCCTGCTTAAGGACAGTGGGACATATTTTTAGGGTGCCCTACATCCTGTGTGTGCTACAGAGGCACCTCCATAGAAGGGAGAGGAGCAGTGGGCCATTCCCCACCCCCTTCGCCAGTAGCCACCTTGGCTTGAAGACCTAGAGTGCCATGAACTGGCATTTCTGAACAGGGAACTGTGGGGCACGCGAGGGGGCACGTGGTGGCACAGGCAAGCAGGCCTCCTTGATAGATAACGGGACACACAGGGGACTGCTGATCTCTTCCTGCAGCCCAGATTGCACCCTGGCACTGCTGGAACTCCTTCTTGGAAGAGGCACAGGGAAGAGGCATGTGGGTGATAGACATGTGGGAGGCTGGCAATGGCAACGAGGTCTTGATTTGTTCTTTGATTTTGTTCCTTTGTTTCACACTTGTCTGGCCCTTTTCACCCCTTTCTTGTGTTTTTCTACCAGAGGGTGCCTTGACTTGTGGCAAGGTTTAGGGCCTCATCAGTCCTTTCAGATCAACCCTGTTTGGCTGGGCATTTGCCCATGAGGGGAGAGGTAATTTGGGTGTTTTAACAGGAAAACACTATAATTACATCCTCTCTTCTCTTCCCTTTCTATGTACACTGGTTGTTGTATTAAAGATCTTTCACTAAGTATCTGCTTTGCTTTTATGCACACAGATGGTCATGCACATTTGGGGGTCCCTGGGTATCCCTAGGTCACGCATGAGCATGCAGAGAAAGAGCTGAACAGCTAGGGGTTGCTGCAAGCTGCTCAGAGGTGACAGTTGTGAGTCACAGCCTTATGCCTGGGCTGGGTGGAGGCAGGTGGCCAGGGCCTTCGGGGGGAGATGCAGCTGGTGAACCTAGGCGCAGCCAGAGAAGGGCATGGTGGCTCCGGGCTCAGGCATTTGCAGGCCATGGATCTGATGGAGGGTGAAGACCAGCATCCTGGCTGTGTGCTTATGTAGCTTCCTCTTCATGTCAGAGAGAGACAGTAAGTCTCCTACCTCCAGACTGTTACATGAAACAAATGAAATGACTCCCACAAAGCATGGGTTCAGTCGCTTGGCTGCAGCGGGAGCCCAGTGAATGTGCATGGCTTCCCTAGTACTCTCTGTGCCGTCTTGGGACCTGCGGGAGGCTGAGCACACAGGGGCACACTCGGCCTTCACGTGCCACCTCAGGGAAAGAACAGTGCCCACATGGGTGGGGAAGGTGACTTTCAACTCTAACTCCTGCAGGGCTGCTTCCCATGCCATTCTGCTTTGATGCCACTGTTTTATAAACCTTTCTCTGGAGCCACGTGTCCCCCAATTCTTTAATCTAAGTAGCTCTCAATCAGGGGTGACTGGCAAAATCCAGAGACATTTGGTCGTCACAGTGATGGTGAGAGAGCTCCTGACATCTAGTGGGTAGAGGCCTGCTCAATATCCTGCGGACCATCCAGGTGACGTAGGGGTTAAGTCAGTGCTTCTACTGCTATGGCCACTGTGAAGGCCTGAGTTCGATCCCCAGCCAGGGAGCTGACCCACATGGCACAGCAGACCTCTCCTGTCTCTCCCACTTCTCCCCTCAGCAGTGTATTTCAGTACATCTGCCTGCCTGTTTTGCTCCCAACTCGGTCTCTGGTGCATCTTCTCAACCCTCGCACCTCTGACCTACACCCCAGTTCTTCTCTGCAAAAATAAATAAGTAAAATCTTAAAAAATAAGAAAATAAATACTCTACAATGCATAGGACAAACCTCCCAACACAGAGTTCTCTGGATCCATATGTCAATTGTGACATGGTCCATGGGGAAGCTGGTCAAATGCCAACCAGTTTTAGTTTGCTCTGGGGCTGAATGGGACACGTCCCCAGGGACTTGGGCAGTGGCAGAATTTATTATTAGCCCTCTACCACTCTGGGAATTCTTGGCTTCTCCTGTCTGAGAAACTACAGTCCAGGGGCTTTTTCCCCAGTGATATTTCTATATAAAGATCTACGATCTTTGCAAGGATTTTAGTTTTTAAAGCTACTCATGTGTATTAAGGGGAGAGGAAGAGGGAAGAGTTGGTTAGAAAAGTATTTTTACTTGTGAAGTCAAAGCAAGTCTAGTTTCTCCCTTTTGGTAACGTAGAAAAGAAGCTATCCTTCTATGGAATCCTTTCCTACATGTGTGCTTTGAGCTGTTCTCTGAGCAGGAGACGGATCTGTGCTAGGTTCTCCTCACTCTCTGGGTGTCAACCAAGAACATGGGGACCAGAACCATTTATAGCAAAGAGTGTGGCCTGTAACTTGGCCTCTGAGTAAGGTTACAATAGGTCCTGTGTGGATTGTGAACCCCGGAGTGCAGATTTGTTAGTATAATGCTGAGCAAATTGCCTGTCACCTACATAATGCAAATTGTTATGAATGCTTTCATGGGCCAACATGCTGTATCAGTCTCACCTTGGAGAGCCCAGCAAGCCTGTTTCTGCAAGGTCCTTGAACCTCGCATTCACAGAATGCTGGGTAACCAAGGACGCCTTAGCCTAAAATAATCCACCTGAACATTTTTGAAGGGAAAACCTGAGTCCCAAGGCATAGGATGCAAAATGCTTTCTTCAAACTGTGTGTAGACGGGGAGAGGGGGAGGGAAGGTACCTGAGCAATTACGAAATTAAAATCAATAAAAGAAATATCCAAAAGGGGGTGACAGGGCAGCAGGTGAGCAGGATTAATGGGAGTCTGGCCAGCTGACCATGCAGCAACAACCTGACTCACATATCACTCCAACAGACCAGCATCCTGACATGGGAGCTGGGGAGCTTGGTGAGATAGCACCTAGTTTTCCCCAGGGATAGATAAATACTGTAGACTTTGGCTTCAGTGAGGACGATTTTCTCCCTGCCTGCACTAACATTCAGACATCCCTCCCTTTGGCGTGTTTTCTGTCCCTCCTTTTAACTAGTCTTATTAGCTCACCTCTGGGAGGCGGCTCTGTCTACTGACGCATCCCACATTGGAACATCTCCAAGGCCTAGCTAATTGCCATCCCGGAAGGATGTAACAAGAGTCTTGTTTTCACTTGCAGATAAGGGCCTGAACCAGGCCCAGTGGTTCTTTGTCAGAGACTTCTCACAGCCAGCCACCCATCAACTACTGCCAGGCTGGGAGCTTCCTGCTCACCTCACAGGAGAACAGCTTGAACTGCAGCCCCAGGATCTTGTAGTCTATCAGCTGGTTCCCTCGAAGCTGAGTCAAGGCTTCTTTTAGGTCTTTAATAGCTGAGTCATACCTGCAGGACAGAGGGAGATGAGGAGTGAGCACAGGGCACAGAGTCCTGGCCTTCAGATTAAACCTGTATTACCCCTTCCCCACCCACATGTTACAGAACTCTGGGTGAATGGTACCCCAAACCCAGTCTCAGGCAATTACAGGTATTTTCTTTTCTGTTTACTGCTGACAAGTGGCCTGTCCATTTCCCAGGAGAGCTCAGCTGCCCCTCCTTCTCAGCCACTCCTCCCACACAACCCCCCTCCCCCACCTCCCCCCATCCCCAAGCTGGCAGCTCAACCTATGTCCCTGGGGGCTGATCAATCTCCTCACTTAAGGTCAGACCAGCCCGACAGCTCTGAGGGTCCTGAGCCAACACCCTCCTGCCCATTGCAGCCTCCTCTGGCTTCTTCTCATTCCAACTTAACTCCTGTTTTGGTGGCCTTCTTAGTCTCCACTCCCCCTCATCAACCTTCTCCATACACGTTGGGAAAAAAACACACTTAAATCAGGATGAATTTCTGACACCACTTGGGCTTTGTTAGGTTGCTGCTGTGATGACTTACTCCAGGCTTTGGTCCCTCCCCCCCACCCCAGGCTGGCAGGAAAAAATCTTGGTGTCTGGTGCATGGTGGTCTGCACCTTGGGAAAACTGGATCAAAGTACCTAGGCTCTGTCTGCCCGGGAGCTGCCTGGTGGGTTCTCTTGGAGGCAATCCTGCCATTTGGGCATGGGCTGGTGGGGAACTTCAAGGGGTGATAGGCGTCCTAGAGCCTGAGCTGAGAGGCAGATCTGCTGGCTCTGCCACTAACCAAGAGCCCCAGGCCAATCACACCCTGGCCTTGGGGTCCACGAAGTCAATACAGGAGCCAGTTCTGCGCCAGGGGCATAGTCTACTCAAGGAGCTCAGAACAGGAGGCGTTTGCAAGAGGTGGCCTGGGTTTGATGTCTGGTGTCAAACCACATGGGCTTGAATCCTGACTCTCATTATCTAGTGACAAAGGACCAATTATTTAACATCTCTGAGTAAAATTAGAGACAGATGATAACACATGCCTCACGGGTTATTGTAAAAAGTAAATGAGAGGAAGTTTCCAGATGTTTTAGGATGAAACTTGGCTCACATGCACAGCATTTACTATTATTCTTGTCATTTTTTTTTTTCAGCCAGTACTAAAACTCTGATAACTAAATTCAAAGTCAACCATTGATTCACAGCTCTATTCTGTATTAGGTATTATCAGGAGATAATACAGGGCTGGGGAGGGGGAAGTGGTTGGGGAAGGAAAGGAATAAGACTTTGGCACAGGAGGGTTGGTGCAGGGTGAGTGAAGAATAAACACACGTTTAACCCCCCAAAAATGTAATCCCAGAGTCATACATACATGCAAACAATAAACAAAGTAGTAAAATTAAAAATCTACCAGGTCAAGAAAATGAAAACAACTAGATAGAAATAAGAAATCTAATAATCAACAATTATTTCAATTATTATCAGTTGCCATTTAAAAATTCTATGATGAGTAAACTGCTAAGATAATGCATTCCTGAAAAAAGAATACACTGGAAGATAGAACGCTATCTCAGCAGATTTTTTTTTTTAGATTTATTTATATATTCATATAGAATTGGGGTACAGGCCAGAGGCTCAGGGGTGGTGAGAGGCTTCACCAGAATCAGAGAGGGGAGCAGAACAGGCAGATCGATAAAGTACACTGCTGAAGGGAGCAGTAGGTGGGTCAGGAGAAGTCTGCCATGTGGATACCTCTGGGGTGGGGGGTTAAACTTGCACTGAAACAGTTACAGCTAGCTTGCAGTGCTGCATCTAACCCACTGCGCCACCAGCAGGGCCTCAGCAGAGTGCTGAGCTGACCAGGCAGGGACAGATTGGCCAGGAGAAGCATCCTCAGGAACACGTCCTCAGATGACAGGTGAAGGGGGGAGAGGAGAAGCCACATGCTCTGTAGATATTCTGTCACCGTTAGCCTAAGTGACTCACACCAGAGCAGCAGTGTCTACAGGAATGAAGGGAGAAGACAGCTCGGGATTGAAACAGGGCAACTTCCTCTTAGGGGCCTTGTTCTGATGACCCGTGAAAAGCAGGCAGGCCATTCCCTAAGAAGCAGTGGCAGAAAACATTTCAAGTCACTTCCACACCTTTTCTGGATCCCTATAAAGGGGGAGAAGGCGAGGAAGCCTGTTCTTTCTAAGCCAGATACTGAGTGTCTGCTTCGTACTCACTGAGCCAAGAAGGGGGTGGAGGCAGGAAGAAGGTGTCTTCTTGGTGGGGCAGTTCCCCCGTGAACCACTGCCTGTGTGCGGGAGCTGGAGAAGCCCTCAAGTCATGTTAAGTGCTGTCAGCATAATGCATGAGCCCCCACTCCCTGAGCTGGCTAAATGGGGTGAACTTCAGCTACAATGTCCCCCACCTGTGTCTGCCTGGTATTGAGTGAACCCGACAAAATCCTTCTCACAGCCACGCATCAAGCTGTCTAAAGATCTGAGCCTGGTGAGAGGGAGAGAGAAGGAAGTAGCAAATGACTCAAAGACCTGGCACTGTGTTTTAAAATGGGGTGGGGGCACCCAGCTAAATGTCCCTCTTTCAACTTGTCTTTAAGAGCATCGCCCTGCCCTCCCACACCCCCACTGCCTACAGCAGGTCTCCCTTCAGCCCCTCACTTGTTTGCCCACAGTCCCCCCTGGGGCACCTGCTTTGACTTAGAGTTCTTCATGCCCCACCCCAAACCCTGGTCTGAATAAGCTCAGCATGGAAATTCCAGAATAGCACAGCCAGGCATGCTGGGAGGCACAAGCTGTGGCGGCCACCCCTGCTGCCGGCTTCCTTCTGCAGTTCTCTCTGGTGCCAACTGGAGCCAGGTGTCTCCAAGGGCCCCAGGGAGCTGCCGCTTCCCACCAACTTCTGCTGGGCTAGGGGTGAATGCTTTCTTCAAGCCCACACCCCAATGAAACCCCTGGGGCACCATGGCAACCCCTCTGGGTTTTTCATAGTTCTGAGCCTGAGGGGATCCTAATCCTCATTTCTGGAACGATCCCTGTGATTTCTCAGTCACTGCTGACATTCGGGATTGTTCTGTGCTTCCAAGGCCCTGCAGTCTGGAATCCTGCTGCTCACTCAAACACTTGTCTCCTGGGTAATTCAGAGTTTCAGTGAAAAGTCAAATGTCAAACACTTGTATGCCAGGGGCTGAGGCTTTGCCCTTCCTGCCTCAAAGACAGCAGGACAAAGGCTTTGCTGCCTGCACTGCCCTGTCAGCTCCATCTAGAGGGGCTCCCCATTGTTTTCGTGACCCACAGGTCCATAGAACTCAAGATCTGCAAGACCACTTAAGGCTTCCTTCCCCCTTCGCAGGAGACAGGGCAGAAAGGGCAGTTGGTGACAGTCACTCCTGAGACAGCCCCTGTCTTCTAAGAAGTGCTTCAGCTTTGTCCTGTTGGGAACTTTACAGACAGAAGAGCAACACAACATGGAACGAGCGGCGACACAGAAAAAAAAAATCCCTTAATACCATCACCCTAAAACAAGTCCCATTGTAACCAGAAGGAGTTCCTAACCCACCTATTAAGAAGCAATGTTCTCGCTTGCCATGGCATTTGTTTAAAAACACTGGTGCTCTAGTTACGAGTTCCCCTTTCAATGTAAGCTGCCTGAAAGTAGAGGCTATATTCTGTTTGTTTTCATTTAACTAATTCAGCAATTATTAATTATAATGATCAATTATTAATTATTAGTAGTAATTAACAACAACAACAACAACAACAACAATAATAAATTATTACACCGGATATTGTAATACTAGAATAAGTAAACCGTTCTCTTCTCAAGAAACCCACAGAGTGGTGGAGGAGACAAATATGAAAGCCAGTATCGGTCACAGAGTAGACAGATGGCGTAGCTGGAGGCACAGAAGGGAATGGCCGTGAAACCCGGCCCGACTCGGGCTGAATAATATAGGGTTACTCTGCATGTGACTGAGTCTCAGGCCACCATCAATCATAACCTCCCCCTCTGTTTACACACCAAGTTGCTGAGGAGCACACAACTACCTAAACAAAGATTAATCTGTTTTGCAGGGAATTAGCGAACCCTCTGGAAGGACGAACACCAGGCCCCTTGCCCTTAACTGTGGGTCAGGATAGTGGATCTGGGAACGGCCATCCTGCTGGTGACTTCCACACATTCAACATTTTCCCTGCCTCGAGCTCTGGCTTCAGTGACTGATTTCTGCCTGTGTGCTGAGCACACCCATCTGAGGATTATCAGCAACAGTTGCTGCCCTGGTGGTTGATTGAGGGTGCAGGGCAAATGCAGGGAAGGTGAAGCCAGGGTTTGGGGCTAGGCAGCGCTGGACCACATGGGAACTGCAGGGAGCCTGGCTTTTATCCAGCACCCAGGAGAGCCAGAAGGCATTCTTAAGCAGTTCTCCTTTATTCTTCAAGATCACTCTGGAATGTATATGAAAACAGACTGATGGCTGATCAGAAGGAGCTTGGGTGAGCGTCCTGGTGAAACTGAGGGTCTAAGCTAGGGCAGTTGGGGCTGCTGGGGAGGAGAGAAGAGAGTGGACTTAGCAGATATTGAAGAGGTCATCTTGACAAGGGTTTGGAAAAGGGTAGTGCTGGCTGGATGTAGGAACTGACCGGTTCGAGTTGAAGGTCAATGCTTAGGGAAGGTGGGACTCCTAAAGGTTCACATCAGAGGTTCAGAGGACACTGAGCCCCCTGGAATGGCATGTAAACATATGTATGTATGTGCTTCATAAATTTTGCCATCACTGGAGCTCCCAGTTGGGTGAACACATGGAGCTGCCGGGAGAGTGGTGGGAGGGGCAAGGTTGCCCTCCAGTCACTCCAGACCTGCCCACACATCTCTGCTCTTCGGCTGTTCCTGAGTTATATGCTTTTATAGTAGTATATTACTCTATGAATATGCTATGTGTAATACAGAGTGCACACTGCAGTGTCATATAGACTCTTATGTATGTTGCATGTAGATTACATGTAGTAATATATAGTATACATATGCAGAATATTATATCCTTTCATAATAGGGAGAAAAACATCTGCTGTTAGTAAAAGGGGAAAAGGTCAAGAGTAGAACTTGGAGGGAGGACGGCACCACGCACATAGATTAAACAAAGACAAGGAGTTGGCTCAGGGTGGGGACTAGTGTCATTTATGTTACTTCCTTAATAGGTGGTTGCTGAATTGAAGATAAACTTTGGTAAGTTTTTCTCTCAGATTTAATTGTTATCTGCCACAGACTAACTGAAACCTAAATCTTTCTTAAGTACTCAAAATTTGAGCCTTCCTTACTGGGGGACACTTTCATGTAGGAACAACTGGGGATCACTGTCACTTAGACTGTGTTCTGGGAGCCTCTTTGTTATGCCAGGATCCTCTTTAGAGGTTGTGAGAGCTAATGAATAGATGACTTTAGACCTTGTCTTTTGAGATCTGGATCAGCTGGAGGCTTTAGGCTCATTTCTCCTTATATATTCCATGCACCTGGAGACTGTAGGGTCTTCAGAAGGCAGAGGTTGTTAGAGGCTTGATGCCATAAAGGGAAAGTCAAGTATGGAAAACCAGATCACCTCTGGTTTTCATGGGGGGTGGGGGAGGGATGTCACTCCTGCTTTTTTACTTATTCAGATAACTGGCTGCATCTGCATCCTGGGAATCTTTTGAGCTTCTAGTAGTTGCCCGTAGCAATGCCGAGCCCAGCAGCTTTAAAGGCTCTATCTCTGACCATCCCAAAGATCCAAACCTTTCAAGGTTACACAGGATCAAAGCCACCCCCTCCCCCAGGCCAATCTCAGCAGCGTGGTCTCTGTGCTGCCTCATGTATTTCTCTTTGTGTGTATGCACACACACACACACACACATACACACCACAACAGTTTTCACTGAGAGTTCTTCATTAGCCTGAACTGAATTCTACTTGGACTTCTTCTTAGAACTAGCAAGCAGATGTAGCAATTTCTACAACGGGTTAATTTGCCATCACCTAAAACAGTATCTCTCCTTTGTTATTTGTATATATGTTATTAGAGTATTTGGAGGAGAGAATTGGAGCCTGACACTAATTTTCATTTTGTACTTATCTTTTTATTAATTATTTCATACTGACTGTAAACATCAATAATTACAGATCAGTTGATAGAAGAAAATAGAAATGCCTGTCATTTCTCTACCCAGAATGAACTACTGACAATATTTTAGTCTATAACCTTCCAGACTTTATTCTGGAAACAGAATTGATGTTTTGAAATCTGTTTCTTAAACTCAACATCTACTATGAACATTTTCCATATTAAATATCTGCTACTTATGAATCTGCATTAAAATCTTCTTTCACATATAACATAAATAGTTTGTATTCTCAAGTTTGGGTGGCTGAATTACACCTCATGGAATGGGAAAACATTCTGCTGCAAAGAAGTGGGGTTCTGACATGGCTCCATGCTAGTCTTGTGTGACAGTTCAGTACCTCATTGCTGTAGACATCACAGGTGTTCCCATGATGGCCCAACTATTCACAACTCACCTCACCTCGGCTATGACCCTGCAGGGACCAGGTGGCGCCATGCTGGTCATGGCTGTACACGCTGCTGTGAGCAATGACACAGCTAATTTAGGACTAGGACCAGGGCTGCTTTCTCTCCTCAGGGAGGACTTCTGCCTCAAGTTATTTATTGCTTAGCCATCCAGAGAAGGTTCCCAACAGGCTGGGCACATCATTCCCAAACACCAAGTCCAGCAGCACCAAACTGCCCCCTCCACTCCCCGCTACACACTTCTTGGGGTTTCTCTTAGGACTTGCCCAGCTTCTGCAACATTGGACTACTTACTTCTCCATCTGGTAGTAGAGCATCCCTCTCTGGAAGTAGGCAACTGCCAAGTGCTTGTCCCGGAGAATGCTTTTGGTGAAAGCCTGTGGAGATCAGAGGGTCTATGCTTGGCCAAGGAGTCAGGCAGCAAAGGGAGTGAAATGGGCTAGAGGGTGAGCAGGAAGAGTCATGCGAGTAGCTGACATCTTAAAAATGGTGGGAGGTTCAGGAATCCAACACCCAGAGTCAGAACACCCCTCCAATGGTGTCTCCTGGAATCTGTGTTTTCCTTTTCTGTAAAATGGATATATACTGACTGGTTTTCAAGATTACTGGCAGGGTTGAGATAATAAAAGTAATTAAAAAGCAAAAGAACAAGTCATTTTTATAAACAGCATTTTACTTGTCATGTCAGCTTACATGAGAATAAGAATTCATATAAAACACTACTAATAATGACTCAAGACAGGAAACCAAGGAAAGGCAGAGAGAATGAAGAGCCCAGAAGCGGAAGAATGCAAGGAAAGCTTGAGAGCAATGTAAGGCAGGCATGGGAGCAAGAGCAGAGAAGAGGGGTGCACAGCCCTGCCAAGGAGCCAGGAGGCTGGGGGAGGGGGTGTGTAAATAATCCCCCTGGCATAGCTGCCATGCTTTGCCAATCTCTTCGTGTACGTTGTCTCTGTCAGCTTTTGGAATCTGTGATGCTTTTTGCTCAGCCCTCGGCACACCCCTGGAAGGGGGTGGAGGGCCAGTGCCTGCTCGCCTATGCCCACACTAACTCGAGACAGACTTGCAGTCTGTGCAGACATTCACAGCTACCTCTCTGCAACCTCCTCTTGGCTTACCAGCTGGTCTCTGTGAGAATAACTGTGGCAGGAACTGGCTCTTTAAGCAAAAGGGGGCATCGATTATTTGCATAAACTTGGAGTAAAAGGTAACAAGAAAAAGAACTAACATTTACATAGTGCTGTGAGATTACACTGTGCTTTAATAGTAGCTGCCTCACTTAATTCCCCTGATGTTTAACCCTTCAGGAAACTGAGACCTTCAAATGCGCATGGTGTGCTGAAGACCAGGGGTCCAGAGAGAGGCACAGGTGAGATCTGGGCCTACATCTTCTGCTTCCAAACTCCACACTCTGTCCAGGTTATCATGACCAATTCCAAAAGTGATTATTGAGTATGCTCAAGTCCATACTTGGGAAGATAAGATAGGGGAAAAAATGAAAAAGATGCTGAAATACCCACACCGTGCCTTTGGCAGACATCATTCATCAATATGATCTGCCAGTCGCAGAAGTCTTCAGTCTCCCCAGGTAAATGATCAGAATTGTTAGTTGAGAGGATTTTCATTTTTTAAGTCTCTCTCAATCTATTGGGCAGGCAAAACCCATACTCACGAACTTCTTGGGAAGTCAGAAGAGGAGCGTTCTAATAAGATAAGCAGCTGAGTTCAGGAAGCCTTGCAGAAGCAAACACAATTGGGGCAGGGTGTTCCATACCAGTGTTAAAGAATGAGCATAGAGTGATTTGAATTTAATAGATGGAAAAGAAAAGAGAGCATAACCCAGTCCAGTGCTCCAGACCCCAGTAGCCCATTACAACCAGCCAGGGAGCTTTTAAAACCTCCTCACCCCTCCCCAGAATTCAATAAGGACCTGTAGTGGGAGGGGCCTGAGCAGCTTGAGTTCCTTTAAACCTCCCAGAAGGTTTCTAAAGTGCAGTGGGGGTTGAGAGCCAATAATTACAGTCACAAGGAGGAGGCCCCCAGGGAGAGGCAAAGCCACTCACCTTCTCTGCTTCTGGCAAGTTTCCCAGGATAGTGTGCAGGCAGCCAATGTTGAAGCAAATCCTGGAGTGGGGGTCCTGGACTGTGCAGAAGGCTTCCAAGGCTCCCTTCCAGTCCTTCTTGTCAGCTGCCAGCACCCCTTCATTCCAGAGGCTGATGGCCTCCGCCAAGGACATGGCCAAGTGGAGAGCAGGTGTCTGGCAGGTCTGCGGTCTGCGGGGAGGTGGGGAGGGCGTCCAGGCAGCTTCCACAGCAGGGCTGCCCCTCGGCCCCCAGCCCTGCCTTCACTTCCCTAGTCTGGTGCTCCAAATGGGGCCAGCGTCCTTTAACACAACTTCTCAGTGTTGCAAATCAACCAGGAAATGTCCCCACTTTTTGACAACTTACTCACCACCCTACCAGAACAGAGAAAAGGAAAGTAGGAGAGAGAGGGCAGGTGGGGGCGAGAGCAAAGGAGAGGAAGTAAGCAGATACTGAGGGATCAGTTCCCCAAAATGCTTTGCTCAGTCAGCCAGTTACAAGCTCACCGCCTTCTACCAGACTCTTACGCAGCTTCTGGGCCAGGCCCCGCCCCCAGGCTCAGGGCAACCTTTAGAAGCTCCTTGGGCCTCCATTTCCACGCCCATGTTGAATATGTGTTGGATGAGTGGATGGTTCTCTCCAGTCTTAAATGATTCCTTGCTCACTTTCTCATCACCTGTAGGCTGGCTTGATGCATTTGCGTTTTCATCTTGAGATACAATGAGCAATTAATAAGTTTCTGAGCCAGATATTCTTGGGTGTTCTGGGTCTGAGATAAGGTTTATGAACACATAGGAGGTTCTGTGGGGACTGATTTCCTGCAGATGCCAAAATGAGGAGCTAAGTTTGGCTGTGAATTTATGACTTCTCTTACCCTTCTGTGAAAAGAGACGAGGGAGTTCAGTGATACTGAAGATGTTTACTAGTTTCCGCGGATGCAGATTACAATTCTGGACCTTGCAGCCCTGGGTAGGAAAAGGTCAGTAAAGCCTCTTTGAGAATAATTAGGAGTGGAGGTCAACCAATTTGATTTATTAATAATCGAGTTTCTTGTAAATATTAGGTCAATGCATGAAAGTAAATTATAAGGGTCAAGTACTTAGAGGACAGCACTTGTTCTGTAACCCCTGGAAAAACTCACCAGTTATCACTACACTCCCTCTAAGAACCTGAAATAAAACTTAAAAATGTATATTCTACAGGGCTTGTAGGTTTGCAGGGGTGAGAATTGAGAAGATAAACGTGTGCCTTTGCACAGATCATTCCCTGCATTTAGAAAGCATTTCTACCTGGGAAACTCCTATATAGCCTTTAAGACCCAGTCAAATTCCACCACCTCTCTGAAACTTAGCCCATGCGCCAGGCAGCAGAGAGGCTTTTTACCTCCTTTGTAGTACCTCTTCCCAAGCACTTAGATTTATGGCAATTTATCTTCTTCATCATTCAGAGCTTGGACCCCTTCAGAGCTGGCACCAGACCTTTCCATGACAGGGCCCCCAGCACTGATACTACATAGGAGATGAAGGAATATATTCCAAAATTAAGTTAGAAATCATTGGCAAACAGCCAGCAGGTAGTAGTGGTGCCAGGAAGAAATGCTGTTCTATCCAGCAAATAAATAATCAGAACTCAATTAGTAAACTGATTATTCCCAGGAAAATGGCGAACTTTGGTAGGCAACCTCGGTTTTTCTAAAATTAAAAATGTGCCTGCTTTTTATTTTATTATCTTAGCCTGATATTCAGAAATCTCCTTAAACTGATTCCCATTGTTTTTCCAGCCTCATTTCCCAGAAGGTCCCTTTACAAAGCCCTACACACTGTTGGGCTGGCTCCTCTCAGCCTAGGCTTGTTTCCTGTGGCTCTGCTTTGCTTCATGTTCGTTCCTCTCCCTAGGCTGCCTGTTCCACATCTGCACCTTCACACCCACAGTCCCGGGGAGTGGAGTTCTCAGAGGTGCTCCATCACTTTCTTTAGAAGCCACCTTGAAAGCAGGCCCACTTTGAACCTCCACATCTCTGACCTCGCCTTCTGGTGACCCTCCATGTGGCACTTCATGATGGCCCACCCAAGTAGAGCTATGGGTGTTTATGTTCATCTTTGCTCCTCATACAGACTTGTCAGAGGAAGTCCTAGTAACAGGGTGGTTCTCAGGAAAAGAGGAGTTTCCAGAGTTTCTACACCACCCAAAGGAGGGTGGAGCTGAACAGGGAGAAGAAGAAGCTGGAGAGGAGACTGAGGAGGAAGGAAGCAGGGTGGAGAGCCAGAAGGAGACAGGGAGCAGAGAGACAAGTTAGTAGGTGGCTTTTGCTTCTTGGCCCTGGACTGGTTGACACAGATGTGGGGGAGAGACCATGGGGAGGTTGACTGTGGCAGGGTTTATCTTGATTTTGACTTTGCTCTCTTCCTCCCAGACTTGACTGGACATTTCTGACCCTTTTCCATGGGTCCCAGCCAGAAGGTACTTTAGATTTGTGGTGGGCTTTCAGGCTTTGCTTTGGGCCAATCCCTTTTGGGTAGACTTTTACCCACAAGGGGGTGGCTGACTAGATGTTTGATTTGGAAATTCTATTCTTTGTCTTTTTTGTATTGCACACTTTAATTATATTAAAGTTCCTTTCCATTAAAGGTCCTACATGTTTTGTCTTGATGCAGAGAAGGCAGGTTTAGAGATTCAGGGCTGCCCCTCTCACTGTAACACTAGGGCACCCCCACTGTTGTGTCCCTCAGAGCACCAGCAACACTGTTCACATTCATTTCAGTCCACTTTTCCACTCTGTCATCCACTTGTGGATGAGCAGATAATCTCCAAATATCTCTTTCACCCCTCCCTGCTTCCTCCACACAGCGATAAAATGGATTTTAAAAACACAAGCCAGGGCCCTCCCTGATGGCATAAGGGATTAAGTCTCAGCACTGTGAAGCTATCAGCAGCCACTGCAGCACGAGTTCGATCCCAGCCAGGGAGCTGACTCACATGGCACAGCATGTGATACCTCTCCTCTCTCACTTGCAACTCCCCTCAGCAGTATATTTTAGTTCTGCTCCCCACTCTGTCTCTGGTGAATCCTTTCACCACCCCTGTACCTCTGGCCTGTACCCCAGTACTGTATGCATAAATAAACAAATCTTTAAAAATAAATAAATAGGGCCCTCCCTGGTGGCGCAGAGGGTTAAAGCACAGCACTAAGAAGCTAAAGCCACTCCAGCCCTGGAGGTGCCCACATGGCGCGGCAGACCTCTCCTGTCTTGCCCGCTGCTCCCCTCAGCAGTGTACTTCCTGTTCTGCTCCCCACTCTGTCTCTGGTGAATCCTCTCACCACCCCTGCACCTCTGGCCTGTGCCCCAGTTCTGTGTGCACAAATAAATAAATCTTAAAAAAATATATAAATAAATGAATAAACAAGCAAACAAACACGAGCCAGACCACATCCCACTCATTTGCATTGCTTTTTAAACAGAGTTAAACTCTTCCTTGCAGTACAGGAAGGACCCTGGATACTGCCCACATTCATTCCCTGCCATTTCCCCTCCCTCCCCACCTCCAAGGGCCCTGGGTGCCAGTTCTCAATAAGCCAGACCTGTGCCCTTTGCCTGCAGTGCCAAAATCCACTGCCTGGCTGCTTCCTACTCATCTTTCACTTCCTCTGGGTAACCTTCCGTGATACATGACCCTGTGGTCCCTGACCTGTCATGCCTCCTACTTTTGGTAGAACCCCAGTACTTCAGTGCCTCATCTCAGTGCTGGGGTGTCACTTTAGTATTGCATTGTCCCAGGGAGTGGAGTTCTCACTGGTTTATGCACAAGCAAGAGAGAATTCTGGTTCCTAAGACACCCAAGAAAGGTTGCACATGCACATGAAGAAGAGCATTTCTTCCCTAGAGGATATTGTGGGGATTTGCCAGGAACAGTGGCAGCTATTTTGTGTTCATGAGGATCAGCTAAGAAAAAGACATTGACTTAAGGAAAGAACTGAAAACCAAAATTAACTGGAGCCTTAATTATTTTGGTGAGCTCTTAAATTAAGCAATCTTGCTGCTACCCTACTTCAGGATTTCTGGTTCACTGAGACAATGAATCTGTTCATTGTTTAAGCCGCTTCAATAGGTTTCTCTATTATCGCCAAAAACATCCTGACAGACAACCACTGTATTCTTAGCACCTAGCACTGAACTTGGCATAGTAAATATTCCAGAAACATTATTTGTTGAAAAATATTTTTTCTTGAGTTTATTAAAAAACTCAAAATTTCAGCTAGTTATCTTCAAAAGTATTCAAAATTCTGAATAAGCAAGATTGATGTTTGACTGGCTAACAGATCACAAGATCCTGTTGCAAGCATTCATCTATCTGAAAGCTAAGAATATTCCCAATACTTCCCTTTCCCTCTGAGAGAAATACCTGTGGAATCAACCTCATTCTTTGTATCTCAGCAACTTCCTCCTGATGCCCACATTTAGAGTTTACTGGTTGTTTTCTTCAGCTGTTTCTACAACTTGAGGCTTCTTTCTAAAAGGTTAGAACCATGCCCAATTCTCCTTCAGTCTTTCACCACACTTAGCATAGCTAATGGTCTCCATTGATATTGACTAGTTGATTAAATAAGCAAAAAAAAAAAAATCTAGAAAATCTAATCATACTACAAAAGTATATAATTTTATAGTTGGTTAGCATCACATTAGTTGCACAAAATGAGGTATTTCTATAATAGCAGATAGTAGCTTATCTTTTCTATGTCCTCAATTCCAACATCAAGTAGATATTTATGTTGACACTGGACAGGAAACCCTCTGGAGGTCAGCAGACAGACCTCACTTTTTATTTTTTTATTATTTATTTATTTATTTTTTAAGATTTATTTATTTGTGCATACAGAACTGGGGTACAGGCCAGAGGCTCAGGGGTGGTGAGAGGCTTCACCGGGGACAGAGTGGGGAGCAGAACAGGCAGATCGACGAAGTCCACTGCTGAGGGGAGCAGCGGGCGGGTCAGGAGAGGTCTGCCGCGCCATGTGGAGGGCCCTTTAGGCTGTATTTTTAAAGATGAGAAGGATTCATATCTGCAGAAAAAATGTAAAGGAGGCCCTCCCTGGTGGTGCAGCGGGTTAAAGCACAGCACAAAGAAGCTTAAGCCACTTCCGCATGAGTTCGATCCCCGCCTGCCCCGGAGGTGACCCACATGGCCTGGCAGACCTCTCCTGACCCGCCCGCTGCTCCTTCAGCAGTGGACTTCGTCGATCTGCCTGTTCTGCTCCCCACTCTGTCCCTGGTGAAGCCTCTCACCC